GTAAAATATATTCCTTATTTATTAAAAGTCTCTTTTTGAGTGTAAAAATCATTTTCGCAAAATTACACTCAAATTGGTAAATTATATTATCTTACCAAAAAATCCTGTATGGGTATTTCGCCACTGCAAAAAAATCTACAAAATAAAATAGTTATTTTTTGTAAACACTTCTGGCGCTAATCTAAACGGAAACTACTTGTCAGAAGTTAGGTTTACAGATATACAAATTTGCCTAACGAACAAAAAAATGCTTAACGTTTCGGAAAGTTTATCTCTTTCCGTCGTCGGAAGCAAAAAAAATACAAAGAATAAAGAAAAAACTACCTAAAATATTTAAATTCAACTATTCGAGAACGCTTTGGCTTTTTGAAACAGATACGTCTACAAAAACCGTTGACGTTCTGTTAAAAATAGAAAAAAAAATTAAATTAAATTTTTAAAAAAATCGTATTTTAAATTTCAATCTAGAGTTATGTTAGAAACACTAATTCTTAATCAAGGAGCTTTGGAAAAATAGATTTGATCATCTAATGTGTCTAGTCCTAGCCGCTTAGAAAATGCCCAAATCGTATTTTTAATCATATCTCAATTTTTTCAAATGAAACGAAGATGGCTCATTAGCATATTTGGAAAAAGCAAATTTTACGAATAATTTGTTATCACACACTGGGTATTTCGAGTCAAATTTTCGTTGCGAACCGCAAGTTACAATTTCAAATAAACTAAATGCGAAAATGTCAAAAGTTGACATATGATACGTCATTCTATTCAGAGTGTTATTTTCCATCGAATAAAGTAAATAAATACCTAGGATACCATTTAAAAATCAAAAGTTTTAGTCATTTCCGGTGAAACAGGAAGTGACCGAAAACAATTAAATGCGTCAAGCAATCCTAATTTATGTCATGCACTAACATACCAAACTTTTAACTGAAAAAAATAAAAAAGTTATAGGGGTGAGCCACTTTTGAGATGCACCCGGTATTGAGTAAAAATTATTTTAAATGGTGTAGCAGAAGAACGTTTAAAATTCAATATTTTTTTTTGAAATAGATATGTGTTTCTGGAAACGTTCTCTTTTTGTAATCATTCTATAACTTTCTATAAGTGCTATGTCAATTTTTAATAGTAAATGGCGTCTAGAGATTGACCTCGCCAAAATTATCATCGACTGTATAATAAAGCCGCCATTTTTTTTTCGATCATACGGTATTTTAAAATAGCTATGATTTATTTTTTACCTAATTATTTTCCAATGTATAGGTATTTAAAAATATTTTTGTATGTTTAGGAAAGAATAATATTTTAATAAAAAAGTTTTTTTAAATTATTCTATAATAAAATAAAATATTTTTTGAATAGTTGAATAAAAAAAAATAAAAAAAATTGTAGCAGAGCGTGGTTTCGATCCACGGACCTCTGGGTTATGGGCCCAGCACGCTTCCACTGCGCCACTCTGCTTGTTAGAATCCTTTCGTATATGCCGTACAAGAACGGGGCGTCGCAAAACCCGCCTTATCCCCAAAACTTTGTTTCGAGATAATAAGCAAAAACTGTTTTAGCAAATACTTGAAAATTGTTTTGTATCTGGGTTTTGTAGAAATATAAGTTAATATTTAATTTTTAAAGAGAGAAAAAAATAATTAGGATAAGTAAGGCGGATTTTGTTGCAGTATAATGCATCAATATACTGCAACAAAACCAGCCTTATCCGAATAATTTTTGTATTTTTTCGTTTAAACATTAAACATTAATTTTTATTTCTACAAAATCCAGATAAAAAACAATGATTCCACTTAATGGGCACGTTTTTTTATCTGCGTTTTGTTTTGCGGGTTTTGCTACAGCAAGATATTTGCATCCTAACTTGGAATTATTATAGGTATGCTATTTTATTAAAATTACGTAAAGATTTGAAATGGATAAGATGTCAGTCTGATGTCAGTACTTAATAATACTATACTTGTGTAAAAAGTAAAAAGCCTATGAAAAATGCGGGATTTGCAACAATAATATGACAATAAAAAGCAAATATAGGTAAGTCGATAAGACGGATTTTGCTGCAGTAACGTAATTTGTAGTGAATTTTATATAGGAATAGGCAACAGGCGACTTTTGCTTCAGTTTGGGACTATGTATTAGTCTTGTTTATAAAAATTCATATACAAGGGTATTAGGTATGTAGATTTTAGGGGCCAAACTATTAATGTATATGAGGCGTCAAAGTTGCAAAACCCGTCTTATCCCACAAACGTTGTTTCGAGACAATAAGCAAAAACTGTTTTAGCAAATATAATGTTTGAAGCGTTAATTTACAAAAAACGTATCCATTGAGTGGAAGCATTGTTTTTTGTATCTCGTTTTTCTAAAAATAAAAATTAATATTGAGTTAATTCAGAAAAATTAAACAGACAAAACACAAAAAATAATTCGGATAAGGCGGGTTTTGTTGCAGTATAATGCATATGCATATTGCGGGGTTCGAAGCAATATAATCAAGAACAAACGGCGTCAGCAATAGCAATGAAATGAAGAACGCTGTCATTTTATAAGTAAACTTTTTCCTAGCCAACCGGACGCCGTTTTCTTTCGATCATATGGTATTTGCATCCTAACTTGGTTTATTAATTATACCATTTTATTAAAATTAAATAAGGATTTTGCCAAAAATTGGATAAGGTGGGTTTTGCAACTTGACACCTCATATCATTAGGCCATTTTTTTAAAAAATCGATAAAGCGGATTTTGCAACTTGCCGCCCCAATTTTCGTTCTGTAGTCCAGTCAAAATAGTAATTTCAATTTCATTAATTAAGTTATTATAATAGCACATATTGCTATATGAATTATTTGTATTGCCATAATAAAAGGAAGAAAATAAGCTTTACATACATTATTGCTAATTACTATTTGCTGAAAATACTAAATAGGTACTCTTGGAACTAAAACAAATTCATCGATGACAGGATTCTCTTGGAAAACAACTTAGTGTTGTTTATAATTCTTAGCTATAGATATAAGCGTAGGAATGAGTTTTTATTGCCAATTTAACGACATAAGTAATCTAAACCACTTAACACCAGATATTACCATAGCATAATAAATCTTGCCCTATTATTCAAATATTTTTATTAGCAGGTATCATTCGTATTATAAATAGAATCTGTGTAATTTTTTTCTTAGATTGTAATTAATAAATGTCACAAGAAAGTGCAATTTCATTTTGAATTATAATCATACATGACATCAGACTTTACTTATACCAGATATTAGGTAAATAAATAAAGTTTGACCCTTGAATTTATACGGTGGCCACAAAAAGTCAATGGGTTCATGATTAAATGAGCTGGATTAGGGTCTATTATTAGGTTAGGAGATTTAGGGTCTTATTGGTGAGGTCTTGAGTCTTAGTAGTATTTCCTTTTTATTGGGGTTTTATTATACATGTATTGTAGGTTGTAGGTATTAGAATTTTGATATTATATTTATATGCACTGACATTTTTTTTAGATGTTATTACTTCTTTGAAATTACGAGCAAATTTTGCTGACATCATGGACTATTAATTATATTTTTATTGTTTCTTAAAAAAATTGTCATATACATATGTATACTTTTAATAGTTTTTTTTTGTTTAAGTTTTAGCATGTACCATTTTATTTGTACCATTTTAGTATGTACCATTTTGCTAATATGAACTAATAAATAAATATTTATTGTTTCTGTAAAAAATTGTCATATAATATACTTTTAAAAGTTTTGTTTTGTTTAAGTTTTAGTATGTATCATTTTATTTTTTCAAATTGACTTGTAATTGGGATTTGTACCTGTTAGACAATAAAGGATTATTTATTTATTTATTTATTTAAAAATCTATACACAAATCTTATCTGGTATATCGGGTGCTTCTCAAAAGTGACTCACTCCTATACATTTTTAATTTTATCAGATAATAAACGAGATTTGGTACGATAGTATATGACATAAATCAGGATTGTTTGACGTATTCAATTGTTTTCTGTCATTTGCCGTTTCACCGGAAAAGACTACAACTTTTAGTTTTTAAATGGCACCTTCGGTATTTTTTTACTTTATTCGATAAATCATCAACTTTTGACATTTTCGCTTATGGTATAATATTTGAAATTGTAACATGCTGTTCATAATGATAATTTGACTCGAAATACCAATGTCAACTTTTAACATTCTCGCTTAAAAAAAACGTATTTTAAATTTGAATCTAGAGCGCCATGTTAAAAACACTGATTTTTGATCAAGGAACCTTGGAAAAATAGATTTGATCGTTTAATGTTTTTCGTGCCTTTTCCTGGTCAGTTAAAAGATCGTAGTTCTTAATCATAACTCAATTTTTTCAAATGGAGCGTTAGCATGTTTGGAAAAAACATTTTTTAACGTATAATTTGATACCACACACACACCTTATATTTCGAGTTAATATGTCGTTAAATTTATGGTCATGGCACTCTAAATTGAAATTTAAAATGCAATTTTTTTTAATTGAAAATGTCAAAAGTTGACATATGATAAGTCATTCTATTCAAACCGTCATTTTCTATTAAGTAACAAAATATCGAGTGTGCCATATAGAAATCAGCAGCTGAGCTGTAGTCATTTCCAGTGAAACAGGAAGTGATCGAAAACATTTTCATAACGACAATCAATCCCAATTTATGTCATATAGTAACATACCAAATCTCTTTTTTATATTTGAAAGAATAAAAAAGTTATAGGGGTATAGCCATTTTTGAAAAACACCCGATATATAGAAGATGTTTTTGGCATTTAGGTAATTTTTAATTTTTCTATGTAAATTTTTAAGTTTGTGACCACTCTGTAACACCAGTTTTTGCGATCCTAAGTACCTATACCTATACATATCTGGGGGATGGGGAATAAAAAAAACAAGTATTACTAAAACATATCATTGTATATATTTTATAAATGATTATAAAAATCTAAAAAAGTCAATAAAGTAAAAAAACAATCATTTTTATTTGAATTCTACGAATACTTATCTTTAAACAATTTGTATGGGCTCACAGGTACACTAGCTTCTTTTTTAGTTTCTTTAGATATTTTTTCTTCTTGCTCTTTAATAACTTGTTGTAGCCTTTCAATTTCTTTTGTGTGTTCGTCTTTCATAGATTCTATCAAATCGCCTTGTTCATGGATCCTCTGTTCCACTGTACTAAATTCTTGCCATGCCGATTTTTGAACATCCTAAATAAATATCTAATTGAATAAATAAGTACCAAAACAGAAAAATGGAATTTATATAATTTATCAAATTATCAAACCATTTGCTTAATTTTATTACGATAAATAGATATAAAATATAAATAATATACAGTAGATATAATGCGATTTAATAAATAACATTTAAAAAAATGAAATTCTTGTCTGCGTCTTCCTATTATAAAAGGAAGACGCAGACGAAAAGAAGTCATACAAATTGTATTTTTTTTAAATCTTATTGTTTAAACATCATTATATCAATATAATTAGTGAATAATCTAAACAACCTAATGTAACTTAATGTATACATATAGTCAGTCTATCTTTTATACAATTCAATGTCTAAATACCTTTAACTGAGATTTTAGGGTATCCATTTTTTGGGCCATGTCAGTGCCGAATTTTTTTTACAGCCTTATTCTCTTGTTGTCTCATATTGAGGGCTTCCAGCAAGGTCTCTTGCTCAGCAACCAGTTCCTTGGCAAAAGTCATAGCTTTGTGCAACTGCTTCCTGCAAGCGCTCTTGGAAAGTTGGACTTCGTTCAGCGTATGTTCCAAATCTAGTTGGCGAGTTTCGGCTTTTCTTAAAAATAGATTATTAAGTGGACATTCACATTTTTGTCAAGAAAGGTTAATAGAACAAAACTGTATTATGTATTTAAATAAAAAAAACAGTTTTAACTGGGGCAATTAAAATTTTTAAACAAAATTTATCTCATTATTTACCAATATTTATTATTTTATATACAGTGTGTAAATAAATAATGGCGATAAGAAATAAGAGGAATTAGATTATTGCTTTGGCGATGGCGCAACGAAAACTTATGATTGAGTTCACCATAATGTCAAGACGTGAAATATAACCAATAAATTCATTCACCCAGTCAAGATATGTTATGTATTGTTAGAATTATCAAGATATGTTGTTAGAAAAAGTTAAAAATTGCATTCACAAAATATATATCTTTTTATTTTTTATCTGTTAAAATATCTGTCTAGATATAATCTCTTTTCTACATAATTTTCTTAAAAATAAGTTATTAAGTGGACATTGACATTTTTGTCAAGAAAGGTTAACAGAATAAAATTATTGTAATATTTAAATAAAAAAAAACTGTTTTAATTGGGGCAATTAAATTTTTTAAACAAAATTTATCTCATTATTTACTAATATTTATTATTTTATATACAGTGTGTAAATAAATAATGGCGATAAAAAATAAGGGGAATTAGATTATTTGCTTTGGCGCAACGAAAAGTTTTCGCACTTTAGATCGAGTTCACCATAGTGTCAAGACGTAAAATATAATCAAAAAATTCATTCACCATATTATCAAGATATTTTGTTAAAAAAGTGAAAAAGTGCATTCAAAAAAATATGTATACAGGGTGTTTCAAAACAAATGCGAAAAACTTCAGGGGGTGATTCTTTGTTCAAAATAAAGGGTAGTTTGCTTTATAAACGTTGGGTCAAAAGTCAACCATTAGGGAGATATCGCGGTACAAAGATGGCGGAAAAATAATGTTTTTATTTTTTATCTTGAAAACGAAAAGAGATAGACTAGTGAAATTTTACGGAAGCATTACTGTTATGAAAACACACTTTCTGGTAATTTTTTCACTTTTTTAAAATGAGTGGAAGGGGTTGAAATAAACTACCCCTATCATTCTTGTTAACGAAATTTAAAGAAAAATCTTATCAAACACATGCAAAAAAATTAATTTGGATAGTTTAGTTTATTTAGAAACTTTTTTATCTCGTGTGTTTTTTTGATAAAACTCACCGATTTGAAATTAGAAAATAAAATGTAAAGCATTACATGTCAGGACCAAAAACATTTTTAGATAAAGAATCTAGTGGGCAGCTGTAATTTCTTTAGGAAAAAATCTAGTCGGCCGCTGTCACTTTTTAGGATATTGTTTTATTTGACATTACTCTACTGCAATACGTTATTATCTAGATTATTATTATTATCATTATTATCATAGATTCTTAATCTAAAAAATATTTTAGTCCCTGACATGAAATGCTTTTACATTTTATTTTTAATTTCAAATCGGTAAGTTTATATAAAAAAATACAAAGAGATAAAAAGTTTCTAAACAAACTAAACTATCCCAAATTAATTTTTTGCATGTGTTTGATTAGATTTTTCTTTAAATTTCGTTAACAAGAATGATAGGAGTAGTTTATTTCAACCCCTTCCCTCATTTTAAAAAGTGAAAAAATTACCAGACAGTGTGTTTTCATAACAGTAATGCTTCCATAAAATTTCATTAGTCTATCTCTTTTTCGTTTCAAGATAAAAAAAAATAAGAACATTATTTTTCCGCCATCTTTGTACCGCGATATCTCCCTAATGGTTGACTTTTGACCCAACGTTTATGAAGCAAACTACCCTTTATTTTGAACAAGGAATCACCCCCTGAAGTTTTTCGCATTTGTTTTGAAACACCCTGTATATATTTTTATTTTTATCTGTTAAAATATCTGTCTAGATTCGTATCTATTTTCTACATAGAGCATTTAAGAAGAGAAATTAAATATAAATACAGGATGGCGCTTCTCATACGCAGCGGAGGCTCCAAGGAGAAGAGAACGACAGTTTGTATTGAAATAAAATTTTGTAACCATATGTAGGTTAACTTAGAGCATGCTTTAAAAATATAGCGAGTTCTACAGGGTCTCCACAAAAAAAACTACACATCAAAGTTTTATTTTTTGTAGTGGAACACCTAATATATTAATTGATTTTCGGGGATTTCTGGGAGACAAATAAAGGTGAGTTTCATTAGAGAAGTATATGTTTAAAATGTAAGGTTTTTTTGGTTTGGTTAGGTTAGTTATAGGTAGATGGACATATTTATCATTTTCTAAAAATGAAGAACAAATTATAAATATCAATAAAAGCTACCTAAATTGGAATTTACTCGGTACAACCTAGTATGTAGTTAAAGTAACTATTGTATTTTAAACTAAGTTAAAACTTGACCCAAAAAGGTATACAGGGTGTGAGAAAAAATGAATATTGAACATTGGTTACATTTAAAAGCAAGTTACTATTTTATTTTAAATGGAACACCCAGTATATTATTCCGATATTCAATGTAAAATTCATGTGTCTTCAAAATACTATTAAGGTTACCTACCCCATAGACAAAGATCTTCCTAGATATTTTCATTTTTGTGATTTTGCGTCAGTAGATATCTATTATTTAATAAAATCTAGGCGGCTGGGAGATACCTTTTGTTAATTTCACAAAAATTAGAGGAATTAGAATAAAATATTGAACGGTAATAAAAAGGTACACGTTTATAACCTATTTCAATTGTTACAGAATTACTTAAAACTAGATATAAATATATAATTATGTGACAAAAATTAGCTAGATGAAGTCAAATACTCAAAATATACTTCCTTTCCTGTTCACTGCATAAAATGATTCTCTTTTCAAAAGATATTTTCATGTTAAGAGGTATATGTGGAATTCTATTTCGAAAAGCAGCCACAATAATTTCTTTCATGCTGTCGGCAATACTTGTTCGGGTTTTGTAAACACTGTCTTTAACATATCCACGTAAAAAATTCAGACTACATAAATCATGAACATTTAAGTATTCTATTACTTCTATTCAACTATTATTTTTCTTATTCAACTATTATTCTTCTTATTCAACTAATGTCATGTCAATTCACTCTGATGTAGGATAAGTTTCCATTTTCGGCAAATTACTGAGATTATTTTTGATTTAACTGACAGAAAATAATAACTAGTTATTAAAGTTGTACTAATTTGATAGCTGTATTGAAGTAACGTCAGACATATCACAGTCACCTAGATTTTATCAAATAATAAAGATCTACCACACTAAATAAGCACTAAATCATAAAATAAAATTATGTAGGGAAATATTTGTCTAAGGGTAGGTAACAAATAAAAATATGTAGGAAAAATATTTGTCTAAGGGGTAGGTAACATTAATAATATCTTGAAGAGACATGTTCCATTTAAAATAAAAGAGTAACTTCCTTTTTAAAGGTAACCAATGTTCAATATTAATTTTGTCTCACACTGTATAACTTTTTTGGGTCAAGTTTTAATTTGTTTTAAAGTACAATAGTTAAATAATAGATCATATTAGGCTACATCGGGTAAATTCAATTTAGTTAACTTTTATTGAAATTTAAAATTTGTTCATTTTTAGAAAATGTTAAATATGTCAAACATATTACATTTTAGTCATATACTTCTCTAATGAAACTCACCTTTATTTTTCTCCTAGAATCCGAATATCAATTAATATAATAATATAGCGTGTTCCATTACAAAAAAAAACAACTTTGATGTGTAACTTTTTTTTGGGGACACCCTGTAGAACTCGCTATATTTAAAAATGCTCTAAATTAACCTACATATGCTAACAAAATTTAATTTCAGTACAAACTGTCGTTCTCCTTGGAGCCTCCGCGGCATATGAGAGGCGCCACCCTGTACAGAGTGGGTCAAATTCGACGCTTTTAAATGAAACACCCTTTTCTATAGGAGATAGACAAAACTAATATCGGTGTCTGGAGCTCAATTTTGTCACAAACATGATGGTGAAAACCGCATATCGATTACCATACACGAAGCGACAAAAGAGCTTTGAAATAGCATTGGTCAAATCGCTGTAACTAATTGCTATGACGTCACGTTTGACATTCCAAGCACCTTTTACGTAGAATTTAACACTTTAAGTATAATTTTTAGAAAATTAATAAAAAAACGATCAACAGGCAGGTTTATTTAGTTTTTAAAAAAACTAGTATATTTTAATCAGTTTTTTATTTAGAATTTAAAATAAATAAATAATTATAACACATTGATATTTTGCTCGATTATGCTTCGATATATAGAGTATATAAAAATTCGCCGGTCTTTAATTTTTTTATAATAAGTATAATTCTGTGACGGCACCGTTTGTAATGCAAAAGTTAACCAGCATTATCCTCTCCTAAAAATTTTGAAGCAAATCTCTTTGTCGCTTCTGTATGGTGTATATTTTGTGCTGTCGTTCTCCTTGGAGCCTCCGCGGCGTATGAGAGGCGCCACCCTGTACAGAGTGGGTCAAATTCGACGCTTTTAAATAGAAACACCCTTTTCTATAGGAGATAGACAAAAACTAATATCGGTGTCTGGAGCTCAATTTTTGTCAAAAACATGATGGTGAAAACCGCATATCGATTACCGTTTCGGAGTTACGGGGTGTTTTTCAAAAATATGCATTTTTAACAAATCGCTGTAACTTTTTTGCTATGGAAAATTTTGTATCTTTATGAAAAAATTTCCAAAGCACCTTTTTACGTAGAATTTAATGGTTTAAGTATAATTTTTAAAATTAATAATTTAAGAATTATCAACATTTAAAATATGATTTAACCAACATCAACACATGTAAACTATAATAATATTGAAAAAAATTTAGCAAATTACTTTTCCAAAATATGCTACAGGTGTTCGACATATTTTGCTCTTATGTTCTGGACAGATATAGCAGTTTTGAAAATTCGCCCGCTTTAATTTTATACTCAGTGGGGGTGAACGGCCCCGGCTGTAACTGCTAAGTATTCTAATTCTTGTCTAGATTATACGGAAGAATAAGGAACCTTTATTCTTCCGCAAATATATCCATAGGATTAGACCCATGGGCACTAAGTCAGGCGGCCTCGACGGTCAACGGCTGGGATCTTGGCTAGCTATTCAATTATTCTTGAAATTGGCTGCAAAAATTTGCTGATAAATTAACGTTCAGAGACGGTGCGTCGTCTTGCGTTGGAAAAATATGTTTTCGAGTTCCATTAAGGGCATATCATCAATAAAAGTGGTCCAAAGCCTACTAGTTTAAAGTGGCGAACTTTTAAAAATTCTATATTTTGAAGGGGATTATAACAAAAATATCAAGTGTGCTATATTTTTGGAAAGGTAATTTTAAATTCCTTTCAGTTAATTAAAAATATGAGAGGTGTCCCAAATTAAAAATCAATTTAAAATCTGTTTAACCAACATCTTAAATTATTAATATATCTAAAATTATACTTAATAAATTAAATTCTACCAAGACATGCTTTGCTACAAATGTTTGATATAAATACAAAATTTATCCATATGGACAAGACAGGGGCGATTTTTTGAAAATTTCATTTTGAACTCATTAACTCGAGTGGGGTAACAGATACCCCTCTGATAACTGCGAAGTATTTCTAATTCATGTCTAGATTATAAATTGAGAAGAAAAAGGATACCTTTCGTCTTCCTATAGCAAATATATCCATAGGATTAGACTCATGGGCACTAAGTCAGGCGGCCTCGACGGTCAACGGCTGGGATCTTGGTTAGCTATTCAATTATTCTTGAAATTGGCTGCAAAAATTTGCTGATAACTTCAGCGTTCAGAGACGGTGCGTCGTCTTGCTCGAAAAATGTGCATTTTTAACAAATCGCTGTAACTTGTTTACTATGGAAAATTTTGTATTTCTATGAAAACATTTCCAAAGCACCTTTTTACGTAGAATTTAATGGTTTAGGTATAATTTTTTTAAAATTAATAATTTAAGAGTTATCAACAGAAAAATTGATTTTTTATTTGAGACACCCTCTATATTTTTAATTAACTGAAAGGAATTTAAAATTACCTTTCCAAAAATATAGCACACTTGATATTTTGTTATAATCCCCTTCAAAATACAGAATTTTTAAAAGTTCGCCACTTTAAACTAGTAGGCTTTGGACCACTTATTGATGATATGCCCTTAATGGAACTGCAAAACATATTTTTCCAGCAAGACGATGCACCTCCTGAGAACGCTGAAGTTATCAGCAAATTTTTGCAGCCAATTTCAAGAATAATTGAATAGCTAACCAAGATCCCAGCCGTTGGCCGTCGAGGCCGTCTGACTTAGTGCCCATGGATCTAATCCTATGGATATATTTGCGGAAGAATAAAGGTTCCTTATTCTTCCGTATAATCTACACAAGAATTAGAAATACCTAGCAGTTATGAGAGGGTATCTTTCACCCCCACTGAGTTAATGAATTCCGCGAGAAATGTTTAAAAACTGCCCCGTCTGTCCATAAGAGAAGACGGTCGATATGTCGAACACCTGTAGCAAAATCTCATGTCTTGGTTTGCTATTTATTTTTATAGTTATTAGATATAGTTTAAACCTGTTGATGTTGGTTAAATATATTTTAAATTGTTATAAAATTCTGCATCTCCCATAGCAAATATTATTTTCGTTTTAATTGATGCTCAGAGCTAGAATTTGTTTGCATTATAGCCGGTGCCGTTCAAAGCCTACTTATTTAAAGCGGGCGAATTTTTATATACTCTATATCTCGAAGAGGAATCGAGCAAAATATCAAGTGTGTTATATTTTTGGAAAGCTAATTTTAAATTATTTTCAATAAATTAAAAATATACAGGGTGTCCCATATAAAAAATCAAATTTTCTGTTGATAATTCTTAAATTATTAATTTTAAAAAAATTATACTTAAACCATTAAATTCTACATAAAAAGGCGCTTTGGAAATGTTTGCATAAGAAAACAAAATTTTCCATAGCAAAAAAGTTACTGCGATTTGTTAAAAATGCATATTTTTGAAAAACACCCCATAACTCCGAAACGGTAACAGATATCTATATGCGGTTTTCACCATCATGTTTTTGACAAAAATTAAGCTCCAGACACCGATATTAGTTTTTGTCTATCTCCTATAGAAAAGGGTGTTTCCATTTAAAAGCGTCGATTTGACCCACCCTGTACAATATTAGTATTTTCATTTGATAGGGCTGTACAAGGTGAGTCAACGATAAAGTTTATTATTTCATTTATTTTGAGAATTACGAAAAAATGTCAAATAGAAAAATATATTAAAGAATGTTAATACACAATTTAAAATTATTGTCGAGTGGCGAGTGAATTTAGAGTTCATCAAAAAGTGTGGTGTGGCAACCATTGACTTAATTATAAGTGTTAAGGTTGAAACTAAAAGATTTTGGACTTCCATTGTCTTTTTTTTAATTAACACAACGTTTCAGTCAAAAGGATCAGTGACCGTTATCAAGTGTAAAAAAGAGTTAACAATAATTGATAACAGTCAGTGTTAACCAAAATAAATAAAGACAATGGAAGTTCTAAATTCTTTGTTTCAATACTGAATCATTGTCTACCACATACCAAAATTTGCGAGTAATGTCATTTTTAGGCCTTTGGTTATCAACCGGCAAGAAAAATTTTGGTTAGAAATCAAAAGTTTATTGTTTATAAGCTAAATATTATGCTTTCTCTATGGATACAACAGACTACCGCAAGCTGTTGCTAGGATATTTTATTAATTTTAATTGTGTTTTTTAGGCATTGTGAATGATCGTAAACTATAAGTATAAAGTGTAATTGAAACCACTAATTCATTTCACTAATTGGGGGGTTGTGCATGAAGCTTAACTATTGCTACTTGTGAAATTGAAATTTATAATGAGAAATATTTACTTATAAACAAACAAAATATCATTAACAAGTAGACTTTATATAGTGTTTCGTGGACTTTGGCACTGGCATTAAGTATAAAAAGGGAAATACGTTCTCACCAAAGCTCATTCTTACTTCAATTCCCTCTCAAGATGAAGAACCTTCTCCTCGATTTCTTCTTTAGATTTTTTCAAAATTCTAATGCTCTCGTTTAATTCTCTTATTACTTTTGCTTGCCAATCAATATTCTCTTTTAATTTTTCCTTTTCATTCTCATATTGGTGTTTCAGTTCTTCATACCATCTAAAATATTTGTTACCCCATCTCAATATTAGTTTCAGTATTCTTTCTGATAGGTACTCACTTTTTGCATTCATTTACACTGGCAGTATGAACCGCAATAGGAATATAATTTTGACGTTCATTTTTAATATCGTCCTGCGAATCAACTAAAGACTTTATTTTATCTTTCAGGGCATTATTTTCTGCTCTCAACTTAATATATTCGTCGTGTATCACTTGGTAGTCTCTTTTCATTTGCCCCACTAAAAAAATTAGTAAATATTTTTACAGTTTTACTGTAAATAGCTAATCAAATAATAATTACCTTTATTTTCGTAAATTCTCAAAATTTCTTCAATTTTATCTTGTTTTATGGCACATTTTTTAATTAAAGCATCATTTTGCTCCTTTGTTACTTTAATTTCTTCTTTTATATTTTCTAGTTGTGTTTTTAATTTGGTGCTACAATTTTCATCTTCTGTTAATTTTTTGTAAAGTTCTTCATTTTCTTCTATAATTTCTTTCATTTGACCAGTAAATTTTGCTAATTCTAACTCATAATTCTGGATAATTTCGTCTTTCTCATTTATTGTATCTTGATAGGCATCTGAAAACATTTATCATAAATCCAAATTTATCTGTTATTTATTACATTTAAAATTTATTGTATTAGATTACAAAGCAAATTTATCGATAAGAATCAATCGAAGACTTGAAGTAAATAATGTTCCAAATTGCGATAAGTGCCAAAATTATTATTGCGAGATAGACAACATTTTTTGTTATATAAATAATGTAATATAACGCTTCCTTAAGACTTAAACAAGTGCAGGCTTTTAGCTAACCCTGTACAAATATAGAATAATACTTTGACATATATTTACCTAGGAGTGGTCCTAAAGTATGACTGTTTACAGATCCCCACGATATAGGGGTGTGTTTGTGATTCTGATGATCGCTAGAAAATATATTTATAATTTCTCCATCTCTAAGCTGACTACTTGAAAAATGCTCTTGTCTAAGATGAATCGTGGACTTGTCTAAACTCAAATTATACTTTCTTAATTTTTCTTGATATCGTTCTAACTGTACGTTTAATCTGAAATAATTACCATGTTGAATAACTACCTAATTAAATAATAATTAAAACCCAAAAATTTAAAACTTGTCAGCATTTTTGTAATGTACTACGGTTATTCGAAGTACGTATTTGGATAGTGAATTTAAAACATTAAAGAAACAAAAGGTAAATATACTGTTTTCTGCTCACCTGAATATCACTGTTTTTAGCATATTCAAATCTTCACTTATATTACTGTTTTTCTTTCTCAAAATATCGTTTTCTTCGTTTATTTTCCTTAAAGTTTCATTTATTTTTTCGCAATTCTTGCAAACTTTAGTTAACTCTAACTGATTCCTCACATCATCATAACATTTTAATAGTTCATCGTATTGGTATTTGACCGATTCAGCTTGCTTGCTGATATCCGCATTGATATCTTGCAAATGATTGACTTTTTCTTTGAGTTTCACTATCCGATTTACGGAAAGTTCTTCAAGTTCATTAAATTTTTCGACAATTTCCTCATTTTCTCTAGTTAGTTTTTCTATTTCCCTAGTTAAACCCTTCCTACACGTTCTGTGAGATGATTCACGCTCGGGTAACTCGATTATAACTTCGCTATATTTTTGTGTGGGTACGTTCTCTGGACAATCGTTTTTATGTCTATGTTTTCTCGAACTGAAATTTGCTGAATAAGTCCTTTTAATCTTCTGTTGATTGCTATTGTCTCTTTCGGGTTTGTGAACGGGGACCTCAAGATGCTTTCTTCTTGGTTTGATTGGTGGTTTAATATCACTATTTAACATTTTAGAATCAACTAAAAACTATCACAACTGTAAATATTTTAAATATAATATAATAAATCATGATAATCCTAAATATCTATCAGTACTGTAAGTATGCTGTATTATTTGAATACCAAAAGTTCTATCAAATCGATCAAATAACTTTGCTTACCTTATAATAGTGATATATGCACTTGAGTATCTATCGACTAAACAAGCAAAATATAATGCATTAATGACAGCAATGCGTTAGATCTACTAACAGCTGCTACGGAAGACGTTTGTAAATAAAAATATAAAGCACGCCAATTTGTGTCAAGCTTCAAAGGTAACCATAGTAACGGGCTAAACATGTGCTGAAAGCCACTAGAGCATGACTAGAGCGTAAACAGTTGTTGGTATATTATTTGCGTAAAAATATCATGTCACTTATGGTCGGATTTTTACCCCTAAGGTCTGGTTTTTGAAGAAAAAAAATCAAATATGTCCCCGAATTGTCTCTACAAGAAAAACATTTTTATTATTAAAATTTTGTGAAAAATGCACTCTACATAAAAGTTCCTACTTGTTTCAAAATAGCTAATCCGGTTTAGGCCGTTTAGGTTTTTTTATCTACATTCAATTTAAGAGAAAAATAAAAAATAGATAAACAACTTTTAAATTATCCAAATTTAAAGTAAATTGTAAAAATTAATAAAATGAAATATAACCATTTTCATTCTCATTTGAAGATTTTAGAATCTTATCAAAGTATTCTTAATAATTTTGTTTAAACTCAATTTTTTTATAAAATAATTTATCTCGCTTTAATACACGTTTTGTTTTTTTCTCAAAATTATATGATGGATGGCGCAGAAAATTTTATGAAAGAATATCTAAACGTGTAATAGAGAACCAACCACTCTATTAAACTAAATAAAATTATAACTTTTAAGTTATAATTTTATTTTAAGTCGCAATTTCATTATATTTAAATGTACCATGATCTGGTAGCAGAAGAACAAAAATAAAATGGACAAATTGAATTTTTTATAATCGAATGACAAAGCCTAATCTGTATATTTTTAATAGCAAATACTAAAATTTTTATAAATTTGTAAATTTGTAAAAAATATAAAAGCAATATTTCGATCAACCCTTTATAGCGGGTGCGTCTCAAAAGTGGCTCAACCCTACAACTATTTTTATTTTTTGAGTTAAAAAACGAGATTTGGTATATTAGTATATGACATAAATTAGGATTGATTGGCTTATTCAATTGTTTTCGGTCACTTCCTGTTTCACCGGAAATGACTACAACTTTTGATTTTTAAATGGCACCTTCGGTATATTTTTACTTTATTTGATTGAAAATGACACTCTGAATAGAATGTCAACTTTTGACATTTTCGCATATGGTTCATAGCGAAAATTTGACTCAAAATACCAAGTGTGTGGTATCAAATTATTCGTCAAGAAATGCTTTTTCCAAATATGCTAATGAACCACCCTGGTTCCATTTCAAAAAATTGAGATATATAATTAAAAATAAAATTTGGTCATTTTTTAACCGACCAGGACAAGACACTAAAAACATTAGATGATCAAATCTATTTTTCCAAGGCTCCTTGACTAAAAGTTAGTGATTTTAACATAGGCACTCTGGATTGAAATTTAATAGACGATTTTTTATTAAGTGAGAATGTCAAAAGTTGACATATTATATGTCATTCTATTCAGAGTGTCATTTTCTATCAAATGAAGTAAAAAAATACCGAAGGTGCCATTTAAAAATCAAAAGTTGTAGTAATTTCCGGTGAAACAGGAAGTGACCTAAAACAATTGAATACGTCAACCAATCCTAACTTAGGTCATATACTAACATACCAAATCTCGTTTTTTATCTAGTGAGGTGAGATGGCTGAAAAAAGTTTCACATCTGGCAACCAATGCGCCCTTTTGGATGCAGATAGTACATAGGTAAACGAGTCTAAAAAGCCCGGGACACAAATTTTTCTGGCCCTCTAGCGGTCTTGATGACGTCATCAAAATGGCCGCCAAAATTTTGAGTCACGCTTCTAGATTTCCCGTTATAACTCAATTTTCCTTTCCGATATTAACATATTTTTTTAGTGATTATGAATTAGGAGAAAACATGCTTCCCAACGGTGTATTTGGTTTTATAGTTTAAGTTCACAAAACCAAAAATATTTGAAATTTTATTATTTTTTTTTTTAATTTTAATTTTTTTCATCGCATTTTGCTAAATAACTTGAAATCAGTTACATTTAGCTAAAAACGTCTCATATACTTTTTTGTTCATCAGAGAATTACCTCTCTAGCGGTATATATGACTTCTATTTTGTCACAAAAGGTTTTTGACAATTTGCCAAAATATTGTAGCGTTACACATCTAGTCGTTATGGTAAAAACTCAATTTATATGTATAGATCCTGAAAAGTAATACAGCGACCTAATGACTATTTAACTATCAAATGTAATTGCTGTAATTTTTAATATATTTGTCAAAAAATATATCTTTTAGAACATATTTTAAACACCGCAGTTCCCTAAAAATGTCAATTTTGGAGGCAACTTGAAAAATGTAATAATACATAAGATTTCATTCAGTAACACTAAATCTCAACAAAAATTCCAAAAAAATTTAAGCAATTCTTATGTGTTAAAGAAAACAAGACACAATAATTGTTCCGGTTGGTAGCGATTAAAATGGTGAGGGAGGAGTATCCAGGGAAACATGTTCTATGTACTTATGAAGATCGAGTCCTCGCGTCAACAAATATGGATATATCAAGCATTTCTCCAGCCTCACACGAAGAAGCAGATGGTCTCATGCTTCTCCATGTTAAGCATGCAGTTGAAAGTGGACATACTCGCATCTTAATACGAACTGTAGACTCGGATGTGGTGGTTATTTCAATATCACTGTTCTCACAAATAAAAGATATTGATGAACTATGGATTGAGTCATGGTACAAAGAATACAAGGTATGATCGATAGCGGCTCCAATTTCGTTCAGTTCGCGCATACCACCTGTGACGTCACCAGGAAAATAATGAATAAATAAAAAATAAAGAAAGTTGACAGGAGATCTGCATTTTTTAGGGTTATAGCTGGTTATGGTTAAGAATTGTTTATTTTTAAGACTTTTTAGTTCGTTTAATTTAATAATTACTAAAACCAGCAGTTCCAAAAATATATTTAAAAATAATTATCTATTAACATGGATTTGGACGATAATAGGTAAGAATACTGAATTTATTTCTATATTCGGTATAAAATTGTTTATTAGGTTTTTAGTTTGCGATGTTTATGGTAAATAATTTTCATGTTCATTGCCTCTGAATTCACATGAGGACAGAGATGAGGATATCTATGGAAAAGTAACCACAAGAGGAATTGTTACATCATTTAAAAAATGTTGGGAAGTTGAAGTTTCCCATCGAAAAGTAGAAAATGCCAATGCAGATGAATGTATTGTAATTGTGATAGAAGTAATTCCAAGGGTGAAGTCTATTATAATTAGTGACCTGTGCTTCTTTTTATATGTAGATGTTTCAGGTTTTGAGAATAAATCGGTTGAACGAAACCCAAAATTTAGAGGAAGTATTTGCATACCCAGAATTGACCATCAAGGATTATATAGCTCAAATTTCCTTTAATGGTAGGCAATTATTCAATGCAAATTAACTTTTTAAGTGACTGAAATATTAAATAGTTTACAATATGGTATATCACTAAAAATATATTACTTTTAGGTACAATTAGTGCCCGATACATTTCAAAAAGTAGAATATTATTTTATATTAAATGAGGTGTTGTACCAACAATCAATTTATATTAATACCGGAGATTAAAAAATAACAGAATAAATAGTTCTTTTTTTTATACTACAAAAATAAACTATAGAATACAACAGTATTTAAAAAATAAATAAAAAGTTATGTCCCGGCCGAGATTCGAACTCCGGTCTCTCGCTTTCTAGCCCGACTCCTTACGCACTGCTCCACAGTAACTTGCATAGCGATAATTCAATGACGGTATATAAACAAAAAAAACAGGTTTATAACAATATCTTGACGATTTGAACTGGCGCGCGGAGAGTGCTGACCAATAGCGCCAGTTATCACCTGTGACGTAGCGACCAACCTGCGCAATATCATACCTTGTATTCTTTGTACCATGGGATTGAGTATGGTACTGGCAAAAACAGAAAATTCATTCTAATTCATGAGATTTGTGCCAAACTCTCACCGGCAATTTGTAATAATTTGTTGGCCTTTCATTCTGTTACAGGTTGCGACACAGTTTCCACATTTTGTGGCATTGGCAAAAAGACAGCTTGGAAAGTTTGGATGTCATTTCGTGAAATTGATTTTGTATAGCATCAGCTCTGTACAGGCACCTCTGACATTGAAGATAATTGTCATGATCTGTTGCAGCGGTTTGTTATTTTACTTTATGATCAAACTTCAGACCTTCGCAGCATAAATGAGTACAGATGAGTTTTATTTACAAGGAAGAATCGAGCAATCGAGAACATTCCTCCTACATCATATGCTTTAACCCAACATATGAAACGAGCTACATTCCAAGTCAGAATTTGGAGCAACAGTCTCGTTGCACAATACACGATACCTTCACCAACCGAGTGGGGATGGATACTAACTTCGGAAGAATCATACCGATCTGTGTGGATAACAATTTCAGAAGTTTCAAAACACTGTGTAGAACTTACCTCCTGTACTTGCCGCAAGCGATGTACATCTTGTAAATGTGTTAAAATGGGAATACGCTGTATAAAACTTTGTGTATGTAGTGCTGGGATAGTGATCGATAATCATAAGTGAACGGGTAATGCAAATCCTCTACTCTGGATATGACCTTCTGTAACTAATGTTTGAAAGCTACAATTATACTTTCAGTTTGCTTCATGTGTGCGATTTTAAAACGGAAATCAAAGTTTCGTCTACCGAAAAAAGCTATACTTTATTTACTTATTCATCAAAAATTAGTTATTAAATTTTTTGCTTTTCAGCAGATACAAAACCGCTGTATTACTTTTCTAAATCTATAAATTACATTGCTGCCCTAACGACTAGCTGTGCAGCGCTAAATTGTTTTGGCAGATTTTTAGCAACTGTTTATGATAAAATAGAAGATATATATACCGTTGTAAAGGTAATTTTTTTATGAAGAAAAAAGTATAAAACACATTTTAGCTACATATAGCGAATTTCAAGTTATTTAGAAAAATCTGACGAAAAAATTAAATTAAAAAGCATTATTTTTAAGTAACAAATTTTTGTTATTATAAACGTAAATAATTTAGTGAAATATACCATTAAAAAGCGCGTTTCCTCCTTTTATAATCACTAACAATATTTGTTAATATCGAAAAGTAAAAATTACTTATAGCGGGAAATATAGAAGCGTGTCTAAAAATTTTGGCGGCTATTTTGATTACGTCATCAAGACCGCTAGAGGGCCAGAAAAATATTTGTCCCGGACTTTTTAAACTTGTCTATCCATGTACTATCTAAATCCAAAATGGTGCGTTGGTTGCCAGATGTGAAATATTTTGGCATAATTTTAACCTAACATACCCCACTAATCTGAAAAAATAAAAAAGTTATAAAAGTGGGCCACTTTTGAGACGCACCCGGTATTCTCCTACCCTAATAAGAATTTAAAATTATTATAAAATAAAATAAAAAATATGAAGAAACACGTCTATGAGGATTTTTCACGAAAAATAACTGACCATTTTGAATTTTTCGAAATAAAAATTGATTTTTCTAAAGTTGTATTTAAAAAAACATAATATCTTGATGATATGGAGAGATTAAATTTTAAAGAACAAAAACACAGAAAAAAATCCAATGGTTCTCAAAATTTAAGCCGAAAATAATATATTTTTAAAATCTTCAAAGTAAAATAACTGTGTTATTTTAGACTTATTTGAAAAACGGCAAAGAAAAAATATCTTTCTTTTATCGGGACCTACAAATCCTAAAAATATTTGCACTTATTTAAGACTTTACCCAGTATAAACGAGTATAAAAATATTTTCTTGTTACAGGAATAATAGCAAAATGTGGGACCTGTTCAACTTTCTAATGCCAGTGTCCATGGTTGTAAATGTCGTAGATCCAAACTGTACCTATTTTCAAGATATGCTAATGGGGGAGCAATACTATATTTACAATAAAGTATATCCTCAAAATTACACAGCAGGAACATCATGCAAATGGGTGGCGAACAGCCCGCCAAACTCAAAAATTTTCCTATCTTGTAGCGATGTAATAATGCCAAAAGTAAGATCAAAATGTTCTTAATATATTTCAAATTATAAATTATAAAAAAATATTGAGAGTACTGTTAGTTTACGTACGTTATGGGAAAAAATAAATAAAATAGTTCATTTTTTTTCATGCATTATAGTCAGAAAACTGTAAAGAAGATCACTTAATTATTACTTCAAGTGGAGGAAACAATCTCACTGAAACTCACAGGTATTGTGGAGAGGGCAGTTTTTCCCTCATAACCAAGGGCAATAGTTTTACAATGAGTAAGTAAGTTTATAATCCTGCTAAAACATTCACCAATAAATGTACGTAGAGTTAAATTTCTGTACCGTAGAGGTAAACAGTCTTAAGTCCTGAAAATCAAAGGAAACAAAAAGAATTCTATCGTCTCATTTCACGCAACTGAAAGGTCTTATCATACAAGCTAAAATCTCACTACAGTTTCTTATGCAAACCTTACTGTAACTGATCTTATGCAAACCTTACTGTAACGTATAATAAAATTAATTTATTTACAACCACATATGTAATACTGACATTACTGACTTTTAAAAAATTTGAAAGTGTCAAATTATTTACATTTCTTCCCTCTACCATTTCCCTCACCCGTTTCCCTCACTCGGTTTTTCTTATTTCTCGCCTCATTTAATTAAGCAAACATTCTTGTAATATCTTTATTAAATACTTATCTAACATCAACAAAAATAAACAAGAAGATTAAGAATAATAATAGAAGATTTTAATACATTTATTTGTTGAAGGTAAAAATGCTAGACTTCTTTGGCTTAAAACCTACATTCTGGCGTTTTAAAAAAAGCGACGAGTTTGTGATATTTTGATATGTCAGTGTCAGTCTTTTCCCTTAATTCTAGCGTTGTCCGCATCATGCTGTACGTAGCCCAAAGAGTAGATGGCTTTTTCTGCCTTGCCATGTCTCTAAAATATGCCATCACGACTGTCTCCGAAGCAATATTCTGAGCTTTTCTTTCGGCACACCATTTTTCGTATACTTTCAATGCTATTTCATATCATCCCGTACTTTTCTCTGGAAGTAAATTGGCTTTTTGCAGCTTCTGTAAATTCTGGCGGAGTGCCAATATTAAAGTCGTCTTTTTTTTCCGACAACATTCTGGCTTTCTATGTTATATAAATTCGAAAAAGCGAACGAGAAATTCAAAACTGTCACTTAATTGTTTGTTTTGCTGTTGAAGGTTTGCGCCATAACAACAACAACCACTGGTACCGGTAACTATAAATATGGAAATGCCAAAACAGAAAACGACAAATTTTCGCTTTTTTTTTTCAAAATAAAATACTGTCCCTATTTTTTAATTAATCATGTGGTTGTAAATAAAATAGTATACAAATTTAGTTAATATAACAATATCAATCTCTCAACAGTAATGAAACACTTCCCTCCTCGGTATGTAATATACTCGTCCTATTATTAATATATTTACCTTTTTTTGTCGTTTTTCAATATTATTTAAAATAGATTTACGACTTTTACCTCTACGGTACAGATTTAGAATCAACAATAATATAGATATTACGGCTAAAATGGATACTTGGCTAGTTTTAAAACTACGAGCTATTTTGCAAACTAAATAAAAGCGCTGCTATTTTGAAAAAAGAACCTAACCGCCCATTCTTGCAAAACTGCAGACAACTTCACAACTGGTTAGTATGCAAACTATATTTATAAAATATGGTTAAGATGGAGATTTTACCTCAGTTCCCTAAAATGTATATACTTATCAGATAGTTTACAAAATTTATTGTTCTTGCTTGTTAATGTATCTACATACAGTGTTGGGTTAGTTTGGGTATTTTAATATCTATATTATACCGTATGATCGAGTAAAAACGGCGTCAGCGATATGACTATGAAATGAAGATCGCTGTCATTTTATATGTAAAATTATATAGGAAATGTCATCGATTCGTCATTTCATAGCCATCGCTGACGCCGTTTTTATTCGATCATACAGTATTATCAATATATTAGAATTTATTCTCTACCTACATTTGATGCTGAATGTTTTAGCAAGACTATAAACCACTTTAAAAATATTTCCTAATTCTTAAACTCAAATCTCTCATTCCATGATATTATTAATCAATGATATTTTTTAGATTTATTTACTTCAAGAGGCTCAGTCGGTGGTAGATTTTTATGTTCCATCACTTCAATTAAAGATAACATCATGCAATCTGACAGTGATTTTCAAAATCCGCCAGTTCATGTTGGCTGCCAGTGCGGATGGAAAAATGAGGTACCAATATAAAAATTAGTGATGAGAGAGACCGGTCTTGGTCTCGCTGCCTTGGTCTTGGTCTTGTATAAAAAGCAAGACCAAAACCAATATTAGTATTTGATCTGCAAGACCATGACCAAGATCGAGCATGAAAGGCTCTTGCGGTCTTGCATTTTTATTTTCGTTATAAGACATTACTTATTTGTTCTAAAGTATTGTTTTAATTCAAATTTGTTTTTAAAATCTTAAAGGAAGTGGGGGTACCGCAATACTTTATTTCACTTATCATCCAGTTGTATCAGCACACTACAGAATCAGTTAGAATATTGGCTTCAGCTTCAAAGGAATTTTTCCTTAAACAAGGAGTCAGACAGGGGTGTATATTGCCTCCTCAACTATTTAACATATACGGAAAATACATCATGACAAGGTCGCTAGAAACATGGGAAGGAGGCATTTCAATAAATAGCCAAAAATAAATAATCTACACTTTGCAGATAATACAGCACTACTTGCTAGCAGTCAAGAAGAGTTAATCAATTCAGTAAATAGGGTAGAAAACGAAAGTAATCGGCTCGGTCTGGAACTAAATACACAAAAAAAACAAAATCATGATAGTTGATAGGCAACATAACAACCATCCAAATATATGTCATATCGACCGCTTTGAAGTCGTTAAGTCATACGTATACCTGGGATCACTATTGACAAATACAGTCACATCGGAAAAAGAAGTGAAGCGTATGTGCAACATGGCGTCAACATGGTAGCTGTTGGGAGACTGACCAAGATCTGGAAAGACCGCCAGATTTCAAGAGCCATCAAAAACCGGCTAGTCAACTGTTTGGTACTCCCAATATTGACGTATGGCTGCGAATCGTGGACTCTCAGGCAGGCGAAAAGTAAGAAGATCGATGCTATCAAGATGTATTTTGTTATAGACGTATGCTCCGTATCCCATTGACTGAACGCCGTACAAACGTTTCCATTATAAATGAACTTAATATTACTAACAAGCTTTCCTGTAAAATCCGACTAAAACAACTAAAATATTTTGGACATATAATGAGGAAAAGTCCGGACAATATGGAAAGACTCATAATTCAAGGCAAGGTGGAGGGACGTAGACCACGTGACCGCTCTCCGACTCGATGGATAGACCAGATCACGACTAGCTGTAGCAAGCCAATGCACGATGTCATCGAGATGACAAAAGACAGAGGCGCATGAAGAAAAATCATCCATGATGTTACGCTGACCACTACACTCCCTAATGGGGGTCAGGACTGAAGAGAGAGATTGTTTTAATTGCGTTTTCCCGACCACTGCATAAAATTTTAAAGATATTATGCTGATTTATTATAATACAGGGTGTTTCAAAAAACATCTGCCATCCCTCGTAGAGAGATTCCTACCGTAAAAATAATATTTATTTTTCATATCAACATAGTGTCCGATTCTGATGCTTTGTTTCGTAGCTACAGGGTGTTAAACGTTTAATAATCATTCGATTTATTATAATTTTCTTCCAGGTACTTTTAGCGATTCAATTGAAATTTTGAGGGTAAAAGTTACTATAAGTGTTACATATTTTAACGCTAAAAAAGTGTCAATAAATTCATCAGGGACGTGCATACGGGTTATCACTGGAATATTAAAAAAAAACATATGCGCCATTGACTTTTTTCTTTTGATAGTAAAATTGTGTAGGCCGTTTATTAATGCCAGTCAAAATATACCTCTTGATATTTTGCCGAATTCGGCCTCCTTGATAAGATAAACGCAATTTTATTAATAAAAAAAATCGTCAGATAAATATGCTGATAATTTCTTTCATTAAAGTTTTATTTGCATTAAATTACGAAAATTACTGTATGATCGAAAAAAAATCGGTAGTAAAAATCTATTTAAAAAAATGCAGACTTGTAAGAGCATTGCAGCAACACTAAGACTGAAACTAAGACTACTTATTAACTCCAAGACAAAGACACCAATACCAAGGAAGTCTTGGTCTTGATCTTGCATTTGCTCATCACTAAAAAAGTACTTAATTTTTTTTATTGCTTTCAAACATCGAAGCTGTGTCTAAGCAAAATTAATACGCAACAATTTCCTCTTAAAGTCTTACAACTTTCAAAATTAAGTTCTGTAAAAAAATATCTTTAATCACAATCAATTAAATGACTTTAAAAAATGGCCAATTCTGATTTTAGAGAAGGATAGTAGGTGGACAAGAAACACAGGTTAATGAGTATCCCCTCATGGCTGGACTAGTTGACAGAACCGAAGAAGTACATGTCTACTGTGGAGCTACGATAATTTCAAACAAGTTTGTTGTTACCGCAGCTCACTGTGTTCAGAGCAGAGATCCCAGCAATCTTTTACTTCTTGTAGGAGATCACGATTATGATACAGGTAAGGTTTGTGCAAAATAATTTTAAATGCCATTATTAAATGATTATATCACTTTAGGTAGCGAAACTGACTATGCAGCCATTTATAGCATTGTAGCTTACGAGATGCACCCAAGGTATATGCCCAGCACATTTATGAACGATATTGCTCTAGTGAAAACTGATAAAATCAACTTTAACGATAATGTTGGACCTGCATGTTTACCGTTTAGGTATACATTTGACAGTTTCGAGCATGAGACAGTAACTTTGCTAGGTAAAATATAACAAAGTATAGGAATAAAGGGTGTTTGAAAAACATGTGCCAACTCTCGTGGGGAGGCTCTTCGCGTAAAATTAATATTTATTTCTCATATCAGCATAGATAGGTCCGATTCTGCTTTGTAACAGTGTGTTAAAGTCATAATATTGTTTCGATTTATTATAATATTCTTCCAAGAACTTTTAGCGATTTAAATGAAATTTTGAGGGTGAAAATTATTATAAATGCCACATATTTTAAAGCTAAAAAAATGTCGACATATTCATGAGGGACATGCATTTGGGTTATCACTGGAATATTTTTCTATATTGTACGCCACTGACTTTCTTTTCTCTTGTTAGCGAAATAGTGTAAGCCATCTAATGCCGATTAAAAGTTGTCTGTTGATATTTGGTCGATTTCAGCCTCCTTGATGAGATAAGTGCAATTTACTTATTTGCTTTGATCCAAATCTATATACAAGGCTAATAGGAATCTAATATCGTTAACTTGTGAAAATTTTAAATAAGTAGTCATTGATTCTTCATTAAAAAATATGAACAAAAGTAGGAACTTTTTATAGGACTAAACATGGATATGGAAATGCATGGTTTTAAAGTTACAGGATGTCAAAACATTTTAAAATGAGGTGTCTTTTGTAATTATCTTAAATACCATTATATTTTTATTTTAATTTTCTGTAGGTTGGACTAACAGTAATAATAACTAATAGATAGTAATAATATTTAAAAATGCATTAGATGAAATAAATAATTTATTCATGTTATTTTTATTTTAGTTTTATTAATTATGATTAATAAAATTCGTTTATCTGATCAGCAAACCGAAATCGACAAAATATCGAGATACTTTTAAATGGCATTAAACGGCCTACACAATTTTGCTGTTAAAAGAAAAAAGTCAGTAGCGCACATATTTTTTTTCGCAAAATATTCCAGTGATAACATATATAAAAAGTTTCGAAATATTCAATTCGCTAGGTAAATATTGTCTTGCAATGTTTTTGCTTCGGCAATAATGACTTTCAATCCCTCTCAAATTCTTAATAAATTCTATTACGCTGCTTCTACGACCCTTATATTTAACTAATTTTCTGTCACCTCCTCGATTTTCTTTGGGAAGCTGTCCAGTTAAAAGATGATCCTTAGCAATTTTTTTCAATCTATCTTTTGACACATCCAAGATACCCATAAAGGCTGCCTTGCAAACTTGTAATTGAAAATCGTGTGTGTCACATAGTTTAACAAAGTACTGTGTAGTCACACCTTTTCTGCTGCTATTTTTCTTAACACATCTGCTTCGTATAGGCTTTTTTACAGACATAAATTTAAGTATAAATGCATCTTGTGAACTTTTTGTTTGATTCGAATAAAAATTTTCATGAAATACACGAATATCTTTCATTGATAAATTATGGCAACGGTATGTCTTCCCGTTATGCCCACATACTGGGAATTTAGGCAGTCTTTTGGCTGCTTATATGTGCATATGGGTTGTGAACGTGCGTCCCCGATAAATCTGTGGACACCATTTTAGCATTAAAATATGTTCCACTGATAGTAAATTTACCCTCAAAATTTCATTCCAACCACTAAAAACACTTGGAAGAAATTTATAATAAATCGAAAAAAGAAGAAGACTTTATCCCCCTGTAGCTACAAAAAACAGCAAAATCGGACCTATGTTGATATGAAAAATAAATCTAATTTTTATGTCAGGAATATCCCCACGATAGATGTTGATATGATGATTTGATGGCACATGTTTTTTGAAACACCCTGTATACTTAAGTTACTTATAATAAGAAATATGTAAAATCAACCGCAGACAAATTATAATACAAATGAATTTTTGTAGGTTGGGGACAAACGGCATTTTCTGGGCCACTGTCACACGCACTGCAAGAAGTTAATGTAGATGTTATTAGTAACGTCGAATGTTCTATGCGAGAAGATATCGATATCGTCAGTAACGAAATCTGTACTTATGCAGAGGGAAAAGATAGCTGTCAAAGTGATTCGGGTATAATATCAGACAAATTATATAAACAAACCAAGTTGTACACAAGTTAGATACCCAAGATATAAATCTAAACAGAAAATTGCTAGTTTGCTGCTTATTTACTAAAATAATTTATTAACCAAGGTCGTATATATTATTATCTTACAGGAGTCTTAAATAAGTGCAAATATTTTTAGGGTTGGTATATCTCGGTAAAAAGAAACACATTTTCTCTTTATCATTTTTGAAATAAGTCTAAAATAACCGAGTTATTTTACTTTGAAAATTAAAATAATATATATTTTTTGGTTAAATTTTGAGAACCACTGGGCCTTTTATAGGTGTTCTCTCTTGTAAATTTAGTTATGTTGCCATATTAACAAAATATTATTGTTTTTGATTAAAAATTAAAAAAACATCCAAATTTCTTTCAAAAATTCCAAATATTTAATATTTATTTTCCCGAAAAAAAAACCTTTTATAGACGAGTTTCTGGGGTCAAAATATACCTACTACCCCTAAAAATATTTGCACTTATTTAAGACCCCACATTGTATAATAGTCATATTATTTCATTAAATTATATGCAATGCTAACTCACAATTGAAAAATCATGTACGTCACTTTTCGGCTTTCAAATTCGACAAATCGCATCGACAAACCGCATCTACGAATAGTGACCAAATAGTGACTATCTGTGGTAAAATCAAACTGTAACGGTTTGTTTACATTTTGCTTGTATATGTTGGTTAGTCTATATTATACATGTCTAACATCAGTGAACAATGATCAATATTCAGCATCAAGTATTAAAAGCATTTAAGTTTTGTTTCAAGACTTCCCTTTTTAAATTAAAATGATAAATCAATAATTATAAATTTGACAAATGTCAAATAAAATTATTTAGAGAAGTTTCATAAAAAAAACAATAACTAAAATATTTACTTAAAATAATACTGATTTCCTAATTCCACAGGAGGGCCATTGCTTTGGCAAAACCAAGCAAATAAAAGAGTATTTTTGGTGGGTATTATATCTCATGGCAGAGGCTGTGCCACGAAGTATCCAGCTGTCAACGTCAGGGTAACATCGTTTTTGGAATGGATACAAGAAAGAACAGGTTTTATTTTTTTGCTAGATTTACAATTAATAAAAAAATTATAAATATTTTAGGGGTGGTATATTTCGACTCCAGAAAGACGCCTATAAAGTTTTTTTCGCGAAAATTGCATTTTTGAAAATTTGGAATTTAAAAAAAATGTGGATTTTTTTTAATTATTAGTTAAAAAAACATAATATCTTTATAATATGGCAACATGGGTAGTATATTAAATTGATAAGAAAGAAAAGCCAAAAAAGATCCAGCGGTTCTCAAAATGTAAGCGAAACAATTGTTTTTAATTTCCAATGTAAAATATCTCGGTTATTTTGGATTTGTGTGAAAAACGAAAAGAGAAAATATGTTTCTTTAATCGAGATCTACCAGCCCTGAAAATATTTGCACTTATTTAAGACTCACCCTGTGTCGTATAATTTTTAACAAAAACATAATATTTATTTTTATTTTAGGTGAATATTTTTGCTCCGTTTGATAAAAAATCAGTTTAGGAATATACCATCACATCCGGATCTCAAACAATTATATTTGTTAAATTTTGTTAATTATTAATTGTTATAAATACAGCATTTAAATAAATACACTGGCATACAAAAAGTATCGCATACATATAATTTGCCATTTAACTATATATTTTTTAGTTTTGTAGCGCACTGTGTATTTTGCTTTCTTTATATTTGTACTTTATATAGCAAGGAAATAAATACAAAATAAAATAAATACTTTGTCTGCTTTTTGAAAAAACTAAACATTCTAAAATAAATGTCTATTTGCTCCTTTGGTTGCAAAGTTTTAGTAGCTAAAATTAAGTTAGTAATTAAAATTATGTTCTGTATGGTTAGTCTTCCAGCACAGTTTGAATCCTTTCTTCCCATTGATTCTGCATGCTTATCCCCTTTAAGTTTTCGGGAATATATCCTCGTACCTTTTGAGTTGTCCATCCGGTTTCCTCTTACCGTCTACAAGCTCACCGTAAAGAAGGGATTTTGTAGGCAGTTTTCTTGCATCCTTCGTACGTGACCAGCCCATATTAAGCGGGATTTAGTAAACATGACTTCTTCAACGCTCTCTCAGCTAGCTTTTTCTAGGATAGATATGTTTGAGACATGGTGGAACCGTTTGATTTTTAAGAGTTATCTAAGGTGTCTTTGTTGCAATTTGTTTAATGTGTTCATATGCCGGAGGCACGGTACCCCATAAGTTTTCGCTTCAAAAATTAACTTAGACAATCTGGAATACAGATTTAGAATATCAGTCATGGCACCCATGTTAAATAGAGAGTACCGGAGAGCAATTTGTAAGAGAGCGCGCTGGATGCGAAATAGATATACGGACAAATTTACTTTTTACTGAAGAATCAACAGTATTGCTTATATAGTCAAGTACGGTATGGCTTAATAGCACTGATTGTGGAATAGATAGATATTTTGGAGTAACATGTTGATCCTTTTACCCCTCAAATTCGTGACGGATTCACGCTAATGCATGATATTGTTCGTCCACAGTCAGGTAGGATTTTTCGATACTGTGATGACATCAGTACTTTGATGACATCGAAACAGAGTAAGTAAACATACGAGTAGTGATGAGAGTCCGGTTTTCAATTTTCTTTGCGGCTGCGCTAAATAGATTGTCTATCTGTCCTATGAAGATGCGAAGTTGCCACTGTTGCCATTTATCAAATATCTCTATTATATACTCTATTTCAAGTATGCCTCAGGCAACGAATCATTTTTTTAATTTATTAGCTGTAAGATATTTTATACATTCAAATTTAGAAATAGGGATTAGGGATTAAACAAAACCAAAGAAAAAACATGTATAAAACTTTATAATTAACTCCACTTCAAATTATGCGCAGTGTATACCATGTTTACAGGACCACTTAGAGAGAAAGAAAATTTGGTCCCACTACATCAAAAGGGCGGACGGTTTCTGTCGCTACTCGTCGGTTTACGTACTCTGATACTCTGATCGAAATACAAGTTTTTGAGTGACCCGCATGAGATGCACACCGAAATTGGTGATGGGATAACTCGAGCGAAAATTTTCTCGAGGACTCGTTTATTGAAATAACCGACATCGCTCGATTATGAACGAGCGATGCAAGTGACGAGTTACGAGCGACGAACGCAAGCGATCCTAGAATGAAATAAATCGAAATCCGATTTTAATGTGACATACTCGATAAAAAGCCGAGCGAATTTTCTAAATAGGTACATTGCAAGTAGCAAATTTATATGACGCCGTATATATATTTATCCGTTGCGTATCTGAGGGACAAACCTTTACGACCTACATCGACAATGCTTTGAAATAAACTAAATCAAGCGAATCGCTCGCAGCTTGCTACTTGCCATTCAACACCGAAAGAATATGTGCCCTGCGCACGCAACTTACTGCTTGGCGTTAACGAGTACTTACAACAAGCGACGCGCGACGAGTGAAAAACCGTATTTTTAAATACGAGAGTGATATTTCGCTCGAGCGATCACTCGGTTATTGCAATCGCTTGAAACTCGAGTACTCGATTATTGAAATTAATCGGTTTTCCCATCACTAATCGAAATCCAATACAGCATGTATAGGACTACATTCATAGGTTTGTACTTGCTCGTAATGTATGCCAGTAGATTTTCAAGAACTAGAAAAAGCCTTGAGGGAAAAATGGAATAACTTAGAGCAGGACTATATCCTCAGATCAGTTGAAAGTCTACCCAACAGAACGCCGTGCAGTTATAATATAGTATTTATCTATAAAAAACAACAAACATTTATCTATAATCATAAAAAATAACGATTTAACTTAAAGAGTGTTCCAAAAAAATAACGAACTAAAAAAATCGAGCGGCATAATAATAACTTATGAGATACGTTTTGTGCGCAGTGTACTTTACTATTAATATTATATCTTTCTGTTATTAGTATTATATCTTTATGTTAAAATTAATTTATTGTTTTACAAAATATATAAACTTTTACCTTGAGTATTATCAGTTTTCAGTATTTCTTCCCTCACGTTTTCATGCTATATATAATTTTTAATAACGGTAATTACGTAGGTATATATTCCTAAAAAATATGGCGAATTGCCTTTTACAGATAGGTACTTTAATATTGCTATTTAGTAAAAAACAACAATGGGTAAGTACCTATCTAGTTATGAGTTGTTTCAACATAAAGACGCACAATTGTTTTATCTGATCCACAATTGAAGACGTGAAGTAAATAATGTTCTAATCACATTATTTCCATATAAACAACATTTTTTGTTACATAATCAATGTATAAGAATGGACAGTGTCTGTGTTAAAATAAATCATTGCAATTGATAGCCACTTGGCGCTTTATATATGTTGTTGGTTATGCAACTTAGGACATTTTACAAAGAAAAAAAATGAGATTTTTTGGCCTTCGAATATTATTTACTTCAAGTCTTCAATTGATCACGGATCACACTAGAATATTGCATATCATAATCAATATAATATTATTATTTAGTCGTGTCTTTTGGAGATGACTTACTTTGGAGTCTCTTACTACTAAACTTGAAGTTTACTTTTGAAATTTCCTCTTTACCGCCAAAACCATTTTTTGAGCACTATCCTTTCATAAGCTATATTTTCACTGTATTACAACTAAAATGTTCAATAAAAACTCATTTTTATTTTTATTTTAATTAATAATTTAATTTTATTTCATAGTGGGTCAATGAACTGTAGGTATTTAGTTTTTGTTTGCAGCGATTTTATTGATATAATTTTGGCATCAGGTAAACATAATATTTGGATGAGAATAATAAATACTTTGTTTATTTAATTCTTAGGTATTATATGTATATTGTTTCTGAAGCTTTTTATCAGAGGTCCTTAATAACTGCTTTTAAAAATTTTATTGAGTGTCTCCAGTAACAAAACAAATATTTATTGCTATAAAATTTTATATGAAATTCATAAATAAATATTAGTGTGGGAGCAATACAAAAATAAAGCTTAAGTATATTTTACAGATAAATGACTAATTAAATAGAAAAATATTTGAATGCATGCTTACAGCTTTATGTTACTTCGTATTCGGATGAAAATTTTATTTTTTAAATAATTTAGGAAAATAACTGAAAACTAAAATGAAAGAAAATAATTTTAAGTTTGTGTTATTTTCTTAAAAAATCACTAAAATTTATGAAAATAAGTTATTTTACCTCTTCTGTTAGATCTAATATAATTACGTCCTTTTTGAGTTTAAGCTTACTATAATATTATGCAAAATAAATTTTATTTTCTATTTTTATCAAAACATAATGATAATTAAACAACATGTTTAAATTCACTATTAAAGTTGTTACTATGTTACTATCAGTTTTTAGCCATTAAATAAAATTATATTATTTTAAATATCTCCCGAAAACTTCAAATAGGCATTCAAATACGAAGTTTGGGTGAAAATTTGAATTTTTGATATAAGTTACTTTGAAAGATCTAAAAATGAATTGCAAAAGATTTTTTTTAAATTCACCCCCGAGAAGAAGCGAAATAAATAAATAAAATAATTTAGGACTAGAAACACCAAACCAAAAAGAAAAACTAAGTAAACATCAAAATTAACCTAGATAGGGTGGCTAGAATCTATAAAATAATTTCATTTATTTCAAAACTTCATATTAGAAGGTCTATTTTCTTGAACTAAATAATTATCTTCTTTAGACATAAAGCCATGGGCAATATTTGTGTTTTGGTTGTGTACTGGTAGAGTTTTTTGTGATACTCTATGTAATTATGAGCAAGATGTAGTACCTGGTGTGGTACTAGTTTTATATCCTAGAAACTATTCAGCCGGAGCAGATTGCTTCTGGAGATTCAGATCTGCTATAGGAACACATGTGTACTTATCCTGTAATATAAATATTCCTTTGGTAAGGAGTTACTTACGAGTCATTCTATGGAAGACGTCTAAAAATGTTCATAACCAACTTAAGTCGTTAAATTACACAGCCACATAAAAAAAGAAAAGTGGGGTATGCTTTTTACCAGATTATTATATCCTATAGTATTTTTCGACGCTGAGCATGAATCCGCTATCAGAATTACGCTATCACATCTCATTTCCCTTTTAACCTCAAAAACTTGGTGAAAATTGAGGAAAATGTAGGTAGTAGAAAAAAGTCAATTTTTTTTCTTAAGTATAACACTATAACCTAATGTAAGTGGGCATGATAAACTCAAAACATCCTTCAGAATTGAGCTAGCATGTCTCATATTTTTTCTAACCTCAAAAAACCTACCGAACAAGTCATGATTTTCTAAAATCGCACGAATCTTAACCAAAACCGGTATTGGGCGGTTTTTGGGTCGTTGATCATGAATCTGACGTGGGACGTGGGGTTGGCAAAATTCAACATGGCGATTTCAGATTCGCGATTAACGACCCATTTGACTTCAGATTCGCCATAAGGGACCTAAAAAAGTCCCATATACTGATTTTGTTCAGCTCCGTGTTTTTTTTTAAATTCGCGTCGGCCATATTTCATCAGCCATTTTGAATTTTGCGAATCCGACGTCAGATTCATGATCAGCGACCTAAAAAACCCTATGCCGGTTTTGGTTAAGATCCGTGCGATTTTGGAAATTTGCATCTGTCATATTGGATCCGCCATTTTGAATTCTGCCAATCCCACGTCAGATTCATAATGAGCGACCCAAAAAACCGCCCTATACCGGTTTTGGTTAAGATTCGTCCGATTTTAGAAAATCATGACTTGTGGTAGGTTTTTTGCGGTTAGAAAAAATATGAGATATGCTAGGTCAATTCTGAAGAGTGTTTTGACTTTATCAGGCCCATTTACATTAGGTTATAGTGTTATACTTAAAAAAAAATTGACTTTTTCCTACTACATTTTCCTGAATTTTTATGGATTTTCACCAATTTTTTGAGGTTAGAAAAAAAATGAGATATGAGCCTAATTTTGATAACGGATTCGTGCTCTGCATCGAAAATACTATAGAATATGATGGTCTGGTAAAAAGCATACCCCACTTTTCTTTTTTTTGTGTGGCTGTGTTATTTATCAAGTTTCAAAATTAATTAATCTCTTATATTTATATCTATAAAATTATATGTGTTTTAAATAAACAGTTATTCCATCAGTAAAACTAATCATCAAAAACTGCACGTGAAAATTGCAAAAAGAACATTAAATCCAAAAAAGTATATCCAATAAGAGGATATAAAACAGTGATGAGTCTAAGATCTGGCTGCAGGACCCTCATCGTATTTTGAATCAAAACCTAATTTTTACATATATTAATGAAAAGGAGAATACAGGGTGCCAATCAAAAAGTTGCCGCAACTATGTTTAATTAATATTAATAATAACTGATTTTGGAGACAACCTTCATAAAAATTTTTTGATCAAAATCATTTATATGTCAAATTGAAGTTATTTTTATTCTGGGAATGATGTTATAAGGGTGCCTTTCAAAAAGTTGCCGCAAATAGGGGTTGCCATGGTTCAAAGTTTTCATAGGGTTCTGGTAACAGTGCGTCGGGCATTTGTAGATCCTAAAATAAAAAACTGAAGAATTTTGTATACGTGCCAACCAAAATATAACATATATATTAGGATGTATTTCAGGAAAATATTTTAACTTCTACAGAGTAACCCAAACAACGAAGAAAAATAATTTTATATTTTAGATAGTTTAGTATAGAATTTTGAACACCCTGTATGGTTTAAGATTACGGTATATATATTTATAGTAAAGTAAGTACAGACCAACAATAGTAAATATTTAGGTAGTATAGTTTTGATTTCAGAGCATTTATTGTATTTTTGTTTTTTTTTAAGGCTGAAAACACTTTTTTTATTTAATTATTAATATCTTTAAAACTATCGAAAAATATTTAATAATATCTTAGGATTATGTAAAGTGACCAGAAAGGATGCCAAGAATGCAATACTATACGGGGTGTTTCATTTAAAAAAAAAATGTCCCCAATCCACTCACACTTTTTTGAGCCACCCTATAGAAGTTAAAATATTTTCCTGAAATACTTCCTAATACATTAGAACTTTAGGTTGCAAATTCTTAAGATTTTTATTATAGGAGCTACATATGTCCGACGCACTGTTGCCGGACCCGTATGAAAAACTTTAAACCATGGCAACCCTTATTTCCAGCAACTTTTTCATAGGCACTCTTATAATATCATGCATAGAATAAAAATAGCTTTAATTTGACATATAAATGGTCAAAAAAATTTATGAACGTAATGTCGTCTCCAAAATCAGTTATTATTATTATTAATTAAACATAGTTGCGGCAAATTTTTCGTTGACACTCTGGCAAAAGTGTCTTTTCCTATTCATAAATATACGTAAAAATTAGGTTTTGATTAAAAATATGATGAGCGTAATAATCCTGCAGCGGGATCCTGTACTATATGACGTGAGTGACGTCCGTCATTTTAATTCACAGATAAATGTTATTTTCTGACATTTATTGGATGTTGTCTGTCGGAAGCTTCCGTGACGCGCTGGACAGACTATATCTCATACATTACCATGGAATGACTCTACATCTATTTATAAAAGTTTAAAAATACAACGATTGAGTTTTAGACAACTAACTGCAGCCAAGACATTTTGACAGTTTGGAAAAGTGGATTAGAATATAGTAGTCTTGGTGATGGATATTGTGGAAAGCAATATTTTTCCATCTTCAGTGAAAACGAGATATTAGCTATCGGTAGGTATTCTAAAACATAGTATACGTTGTTTAAAAGTGGTAGGCAATTATGAAATAAAATATCTTCCTAGACTAAGGTCTAGTATAATTTTAACAAGTAAATATACAGTATTTATATTATTTATACATACGGGGTGGCGCCTCTCATACGACGCGGAAGCTCCAAAGAGAACGACAGTTTATATTAAAATGAAATTTTGTGAGCATATGTAGGTTAGTTTAGAGCATTTTTCAAAATTATAGTAATTAAAACTCACCTTTATTTTTCTTTTAGAATCCAAAAAATCAATTAATATATAGGATGTTCCATTACAAAAAAACAAAACTTTGATGTGTAACTTTTTCGGGGACACCCTGCAGAACTCTCTATATTTTTAAAAAATAGTCTAAATCAACCTACCTATGGTTCAAATTTCGTCCTACATACACAAAATTTCGTCGTATGGGAGACGTCACCCTGTACATATTATGCATATATGGATATTGGTATACATACTTGTAAAATGATCGTGTAAAATTCATATTAAAGACAGTAAAGACACTGTTAGCTGTCAGTCTAAGAAGAAATGGTATTTTATACTATTTACAATACTTTTGTTTATTATAAAATAACATATAGGAAGTTTCAAAAAGTGCCATCTCTCATGGAGGGATTTTACACGTGAAAATATGATTTATTTTTTATATCAACATACATACTTTTGATACTTTCTATCGGTCGAAATCAAACTTTTCTAAATAAGTAGTATTTTGAAATTTATATAATGTTTATTATAATTATTAATCACGTTATTTTATTATTTAGTATCATATTGCTAAATGTATTAGTTATATTTTTTGTGTTATGTTTTTATAGGTATTTGCATATTTCATTGAAAATGTTAATTTTTTTTCTAATTTAGTGAAGTCGGTTTCGAGGTTGGTTGATGTTGTTTGATGTAATTTTTAAGCTACCTACATATGTGTTTGTTTTTTTTTCGCTTGTGTTCATTATTTGTGTTCATGTTTACCTTCTCATGACTTAATAATTTGATATTAATTTCATTTGAAACTCAATTTTTTATCGGTTTTACCTTTGAGAACCATCCCTTGCTTGCTAATTAACGAACTCTACAATCGATGAACGAAAATATTTTAGTACGGTTCTAAAAATTCTTATTAATATTACCCTTATTACCAAGAATAGGGTTCAGATCTTTTTGGCCATCACAGAACCGTGTAACAATAAATAAAAATTATTTTTTTTGTTACGTGAGAAAGTCCTTGCTTATTGTTCTTGCTTCTTTTCTTTTTAGAATTTCCTATAATATTTATTATGTTATGTTTTAATAGATATTTGTATTTTTCATTCAATTTTAGGGCTTTTGTCTCAAATTCAGTTAAAGTCGGTTTATGTTGTTTGATGTGAAATTTAAGTTACCTATACTTTTTTCTTTACTTGTGTTTATATCTGTGTTCATGTTAATTTTTTCATGATTGATTACTCAATAATTTGGTATTATTTTCATTAAAAATCTCAATTTTTTATCCATTTTACTTTGAAAGACCATTCCTTGCTTTCTGATTGATGAACTGCACCACCATTGAACAAAAAATAGTCAGTACCGAAAGTACCGAAGAAACCGGGAAATCCCCATTCCTAAGAGGCGCGGTACCGAAATTCCCGGTTCCGAAAAACAGCTCCGGTTCCGCAAACCCTATTCTGCATCCAAGTTCATAGGAAGATTTTTTCATATTTTTGATGAGACATAAACTACTTATTTAAACTTTGGCCAGTTAATAACATTAAAAAATTGTATAGCTTGCTCTTAGTTTTGGACTCGCGGTTTTCTCTCTCAAGAGATCTGATCAAGGATTCAGTCTCCTTCGACAAAATATCAAGAGACGAGTTTTAATCGGCATTAAACGGCCTATACAATTTTGCTAACAAAAGAAAAGAAGGTCAGTGGCGTATATGTTTTTTTTTGGAAAAATATTCCAGTCATGACCTATATGCACGTCCCTGATGAATCTGTCGACACTTTTTTAGTACTAAAATTTGTGTAACACTTATAATAACTATTACTCCCAAAACTTGGTTCGAATCACTTGAAACACCCTGTATAATCCCTCTAAATAGTTTCGACTAAATAGTACAACGGTGTTAGAAAGCCCATATTTGATGAAATCGAGGGAAGAAATTTCTCTGATAATAATAATTTCTTGAATATTTTCATCATAATCCAATTAACCATGGTCTTAATATTCCAAAGTAGTATCATTTCCTTATAGGTTTAGTTTCGTCCTGGAATTCGCCAGGTGGTGAACTAAATTGTGAAATAACGTCAATTAGAAATGAAACAGAACCCGTACCTGACTGGAATACAGGATGTGACTGCGGGATGGAAGGGATGGTAAGATGTTGAAGTTTATTCTAAATATAAGTTATTCAATATATGGAAATTGGAATAATTCAATGTCTTTCAATTTAGAATTTTCAGTTAGAAATCATTAAAATAGCACGTCATTTTAAAAATTATTGAAGCACAGGGCGCTACCCTATTATTACTATTAAAACGTCGGCAATGAGTGGTGCACAATAATTATTTTACAATTACAAATGTGGTTTATCTTAATGTTAGTTATAATACCCATTAACAGCATAGATCTGTCAGCAGTTATTAAAAAAAGCTTTGCATATATAACTTAAATAAAATAGACATTAAGACTTTCTTAATTCAAATTTTAAACTTATTAAACAAAATAGTTCCTAGTGTTTGGTAATTAACACTAACAACTACTGTATGATCGAGAAAAAACGGCGTCAGCGATGGCTATGGAATGAAGATCGCTGTCATTTTAAATGTAAATTTATATGGGAAATGTCATTGATGTTCATTTCCCAGCCCACTGGACGCCGTTTTTTTTCGATCATACGGTATAATTGACCAAGGTAACCTATTGTTGTATAAAACTAATTGGCAGAAAAGATAAAACTTCAGACCATAACTGAAAAAGCCAATAAAAATATATAAGGTTTTTGAGTAAAGTATTAGTTCCGTTCAAAAAATAATACAATTGCATCATACTAAACCTTCAATAATAAATTTTCTAAATAATACTAAATACTAAATTTTCTTAATTAACAATTTAAGAAATACCGTTTGACAGTTTACTCTTGTATTGAATACACTGTCATATGGTATTTCTTTGTTGCTTCATCTGTCTCATACTCATAACATATCTACCATTCGGATTATTTGTTGGTTATTTTATATTTTGTATCCATTCTTGTAACTGATTTTACAGGGTTCTGGACCTATGAATAGCATTGATGAGCCTTGTTTAACCACTTTATCTGCCTTTGTGTTTCCTTTGTAACCTTCGTATCCCGGAACCCAGCCATAATAAAATGGCCATTTCCTCCTAATGTATTTAGAGTACGCACACTAGCCTAAAATTAACCTCTGTTGAATCAAACGCCTTTAGCGTTGCTTAGTTATATGTTACAATGACATGTGTTTTTTCCTACCTTATTGTTTCTCTCACTCAATAATGGAATACCGATATTTTCACATGTTCATAAATTGTGACACCCTTGGATATGATTGAGGGAAGCTGTTCCTTGTTTCAACGCTACTATTCCAGCTCCTATGCCTTCTGACTTTCTTGAGTTATCTGTATACCAGATTTTTAGGAAATCTGCTGGCAGACTGTCACCACCTGTGTACCAGATTGCCTTACCTTGAGTGGGTATATCATTTATCCAGAGTTTTTCCTGTTTGGTATAATTATTTTAAATTTGTTGTTCAAGCGATACTTTGGAGCTGTTGCAACTATCGGTTTTCACAATATCTTGGCTGCTTTTGGCTCCTCGATTAGTTTCCAATTTTACTTGTATGTTGCTGACCAAATTAACCTATGCATGACAAATACATTTGCCTTGTATATGCATTCGTTTTCACAAGCAATCAAGCCTTTGTGTGAAACTTTACACCCTTCTTGCCCTCTCGCCGACTTTCTTCGCCACACAACTGACCTGTTAGCACCAACTACACCTATTCTCGTACATGTGCCAGTAGTCAGAGCAGCACTCTCAATCGTTTTTTAAACAAAGTTTCGACTTGATCCATAACAAAAAATATAAGAATATCTTGGTACGTACGAAAATTTCCATGCCAATAATCGTATGTATACAAGCTGGCTGTGATATGACGACTGACGTATGATCAAAAAAAAGGTCTCTAGTTTGCTTGGAAAAGATGATCGTTGAAGTTCCCCATATAATTTGATACAATATCATCGAAAAAAAAACGGTGTCGGCGACGGTTATGAAATAAGGATCGCTGTCATTTTATATGTAAAATTATATGGTTTGTAAAATTATATGCCTGATGTCATCGATGTTCATTTCCAAGCCAACTGGACGCCGTTTTTTTTTCTTCGATCATACGGTATATAAAATGACGGCGATCTTCATTTCATAGCCATAGCTGAAGCCGTTTTATTTCGATCGTATTGTACTTAATTAAGATCATGTCATACTTTTCATTTGACTATTCTTACTTGTACTTTTATGTTTAGACTAGAATTACTGGAGGTCAAGAAACAGGAATTAACCAATTTCCTTTTATGGCAGGGGTCATATATAAGGATGATTTTTTTTGTGGATGCACGATTATAGCTAATCGATATTTACTTACAGCTGGACACTGTATATATCAAACAAATCCTGATGATTTGCTGATATTAGTAGGAGATCATGATTTATCAACAGGTATGATATAAATTTATCACTATTTAAGGTTGAATTTTTAAACAAAACAAAAATAAAACACTAATTCACCACAATACACCAAAATACACTCTACTTAACGCACTGAACGCGGGTTTCTCTAATCTAGTTAGCATCATCAGCAGATGATTAAAACTAAATTAATAAATACAAATTGAGTGTTTTTATAGGAGCTCTTAGTGTAACAATTTATCACTGAAACTACATGGAAGGAATTGGGCCATTATCTCTGTTCATATTATATTTTCATTTATTAATTTTGATGCTCTTATATGCATCTAATTGCCTGTAATTTGAATTTTAAGTTATTAATATCTATACAATGATCTTTATCAACAATATGTTGAGCAACGCCAAGATTTATCCGGTCTACCATATCTTATCTGAGCCATATGTTCTTTAAATCTAGTTAATGTTGATCTTCTAGTCTCACCAACATATTTCTGATTACAATCTTTACATGAAATTCCATAAATACATTCCCTTTCCGGCATTGTTGTCAAAGGTCATTATATAGATAGTAATAATTTAGAATTAGCTAAACCAGTCTCAAACTATAGGAAATTAGATGCATATGGGAGCGTCAAAATTAATAAATGTAAAGATAATATGAACAGGAGATAATGGTCCAATTTCTTCTAGTTCTCTGTTATTATTGCTCTAGTATCGATAATTAATTGTTACGCTCGGTTGGTTTTGACTCGCTTGGATACTTTTGCCACGATTGATGAGTGCCAACTGAGCGCCTATATAAACTTAAGAATGTTTAGGAGAGGGGTTAATCACCGCGATCTTACAGATCTCTTGTGTGGACCCATTTCTTGAATTATAACGAGTAATATCATCATACACTCTCAGGGCTTTGCCAGAAGCCAGTATCTGCAACGGCTCCACAGAGGCCAGCTCTCCATCTTCGACATCAGCCGTGCCAAAATTTATGTCCACTCTTATTAAATACAATACAAAAAAGTTTTTGGCACGAACGGTTGTCCTCTCGGCGGACTCAGTGATGATGTGTTCGGGTGTATTCCCATTTATTTGATTGTGTTGAGGTGACTGTCTTGTTAGAAACTCCGTGACAATCCCAAGAATGTTCTTATTAAGTCCAGGAAAATCTTTGATTTTTCTCGGTCGGTGAGGGATGCTGAGGTGAGGAACCCATTGGTTCGGAGTATTTAGTTTTCGCCCTAAATACTCCTCTCCCTGTCCCTGCTTTGATTTTGGAAGTATCAGTATACCACGTTATAGTATGGTCTTTTACAAAGCTGAGCAAACGTTTCTCTCTTTCAATTTTTTCAATCCTATATAAACGCTCAATTTGTAGATATTAGTTTTGTTTTAATCATCTGCTGATGATGCTAATATAGTTAGCAAAACGTGTATCAAGTACAAATGTATTGTGGTGAATTGGTGTTTTATTTTAATGTTGTAACACCAAAGATTCCAACTCCCAACTGTAATCTACGAAATAATACCAATTGTAATCTACGAAATAATAAGTTATTTGTGACAAGGCTGTACGTTTGACGTCAAATGTAGACATGTTATTTTTTTTTCAAACGCCACAAATAATGTTTTAAACAATTTCAATCGTTCCAAATAATATAAAAATATTTAAAAGTAATACCTCGTAAGTAATTATATGTATATCGAGAAACTATGGTTACGCTCGTTTAATTTGACACTTTATATCAGTTTAATAAAATATTTTCGTACTTTTGTGCTTAGACATACTTTACTTTTATGCCTAGGCGTTAAAATTACATTGTTATGTAGTCAATCACGTCGCAAAAATTATTGCTTTAGTGACGTATGAAAAAAAAAATGGCGCTGGGAGGTACGTATAGCCGCCCGTACTAAAATATGTTAATAAAAAGTTGGTAGGCAGTTCTTTTAGTTTCAAAGTAAAGGATTTTTTCCAATTTTGGTCCGCGGTTATTTCCCCTATCCGCCACCTGGGGTCGCGTCCGATGGGAGTTTGGAGTTCTCCACACGGATTTTCTTTTTTTTTTTGTTTTTTTTTCAATAAGTTTTATATATTTTTTTGAGATTTTTTAATTTTGAACACCCTCTCCTACCCCTTTACCAACCCCCCACCACCACTAAAATTTAATGGCCGGATTCCCACCAGTATTTTATGCCGTGTTTTTAAAAATTAACAATTAAAATATTCCAAAAAAAATTGTTAAAAATAATCATTTAGTGAAAAAATTGGCGCCACGTGACACGTACAGCCGGCTTTATCTCAAAAACTACGGCTTTGACACACTTTATAATATCAAAGTGTTAAGTTAAGTTTTATTTAAAATATATTTCCGTCCATAAAAGGTGAAAACCTGAAAACCGCGTTTTGCTAGCTGTTTTGTTTCTGAGTTATAATTTTTTAAACAATATTTTATATTTTTTTTTATCTCAGAAACTGCGACTTTGACTGATTTTGATGTTATTACAAATTTTGTTGCAAATATTATTCCTAATCTTAAATTGAAAACCGCGTTTCGCTAGCTACTGTAATTTTGGAGTTACGATTTTTTAAAATTTTTAACCCCCTAACATACCCCCTCCCATACCCCCTTACCAACCCCCCACTCCCACAAAAACTTATAGCCAGATTCTCGGGTGCCACAGTATTTTTGTGCCAAATTTGGTTAAAATCGGTTTACCGGTTTTTGAGTTATCGTGTTACAGACAGACGGATAGACAGACAGACAGACAGACACCATGAAAATATTTTGTATTTAGGTCATTTATAACCCAAATAACTCATTTTTAGTGAAATTAAAAAAACTTTTTTTTGCCGACCTTAATAGCCTACCATACCTGTTGGTATGGTGGGCTAAAAACTATAAAAGCCTAAACAAAAAGATAGAGTAGTGTTGTTATTAGACTACAGAAGTACCCTGAAATAATAAATAATAATTTATTACTGAACGGATAGTATGACATAATAAAGAATGTATTACATTTCTATATAATACTAGCGTGTACCAGCGACTTCGTTCGCGTCGAATTAATCATTTGTAATGGTGATGATAAAGCAAAGCAAGAATTTCCATTAACATTTGAGGGGTAGTTTCATCTCGTTGGAATTTGACTTTCGAAAAATTCGTTTGCCAAAAATAAGCTTTTTACGTCAAGCAGTTTAAGCAGAATCGTAGTTAAGAAATTACCCAACTTTTTAGAACACCCTATATGATTTTTTAAAAAAATTCAAAATATGTAAAAAACCAAATAAATTATGCTTGTCCAAGCGTTTTCCCAAAAGACTAACCGTTTTTTAAATAACAAATATTGTAATATTTGAGGGGCGTTTTCACCCTCTTGGAATTTGAGATTCGTGAAACCCCTCCTTATCGAACCTTTACACCCCACAGTCAATCCGTTTGCCAAAAATCAGCTTTAAACGTCAAGCAGTTTAAGCAGAATCGTGATTACTCAGTGGTCATATTTTATGAAACACCCTGTATAAATTTATAAAAAATATTAAAATATGTAAAACAACAAAATAAAATGTACGTGTTTAAGAGTTTTTCTGAAAAACTCACCGGTTTTTAAATAAAAAAATATTTAAATATTTGAGGGATAGTTGCACCCCCTTAGAATTCCAGTTTGGAAAAATCCCTTCTTATCGAACCTCTACACCCTAAAGTTAATCTGTTTTCCAAAAATCAGCTTTTTACTTCAAGCGCTTTAAGCAGGATCGTGATTAATCAATAACCAGATTTTTCGAAACACCCTGTCTACATTTTTCAAAAAATCTTAAAATAGGTAGAAAAACAAAATAAAATATACGTGTTTAAGCGTTTTTTCGGAAACTTGACCGTTTTTTAAATAAAAAATATTGTAATATTTGTGGGGTGGTTTCACCCACTTGGAATTGGAGTTTCGAAAAATCCCTTCTTATCGAACCTCTACAACCTAGAATAAACCTGTATGCCAAAATTGAGCTTCTTACGTTGAGTGGTTTGAGCAGGATCGTGATTAATCAGTATGTCAGTCACTTAAGGATTTTATATATTAGTATAGATTATATCTTATAGGTCGAGATACGAATGCTAGCAAGTTATACCATGTTAGCGCCTACGAAATCCATCCTTCGTTCAATATGACCTCCTGGCGAAATGATATTGGAATCATTCAAACAAGTACTGTAATAAAATTTGGTCCTGCTATAGGACCTGTTTGTTTGCCATTTAAACATACTTACTATGATTTTGCTGGACAAACTGGAACAATTTTAGGTATAACTATTAACTTTAACACTACTATCTGACAAAACATATCACTAGTAGTTATTACAAAATGTTTTTCTTGTAATCACAACTTTGATACTTTTTAAAACTGCTATTTTTCATTTTTTTTTTGGAATATAAAATAGTTTTCTCTCAATTACAGGTTGGGGACTTTTAAAATTTTCTGGTGTACCCTCAAACACGTTACAAAGAGCCGATCTAACAATTTTATCAACCAGACAATGTAATTTTTTTGACCAGCCACCTACAAGTTACAACGAATTGTGTACATACGAAAAAGAGAAAGATTCCTGTCAACATGATTCAGGAGGTAAGTTTATTCTTTATACTATATTATTTATGGATCAAAGTAAAATAGTTGTCACCTAAAAACATTCACAATTAATAGACTGCAAATATTATATGTCAAAATATGTCTGTCAAAATCATCTCTTTTCTTATGGGACAGTTTTTAGCCAATAGCTATTAAGAAAGCTGTGCCGCACAGGGGCGTATATACGGGAGAGATAATGGGGATAATCACCCTTCCCAGGATGAAACTTATAAGTAAGAAGTAAGGAACTTGTTATAAAATAAAATTGTCACAAAATAAATTAATAATATCAAACAAAATAGAAACCCAGAACAATCCAAGCTTATTTTTTTCCATGGTCACAATACCTTTGATCGAAAATTTAATTTAAATCTATTACTTTATTTAAATATTGCCACTACCCCTTCCAGACTCAATCTCTGGATGCGCCGATGCGCCACTAGTGCAGCATAACTATAACTTATACTAAGACTGGATATTAATAAAAACTACATGTTACAAGTAAAATAAAGTAATGGTTGGTTCATGTAGAATGTAGTATCAATAAAAGGGGGGTTAATCACCGCGACCTTAAAGATCTATTGGGCCCCCTTTTCTTGAGTTATAACTAGTCATACAGTCTATAACTTAACATTCATGGATATCTTCCTGTTGTAGGGTTGCCTGGGTATTTCCCATCCTCATCTGACAACAAATGTTGATGAGTGGACATCTACCTCCTACGAGGATATACACCTTTCTTTTATTATCTACCATTTATTTATCTACCATTTTTTTTCCTACGAGGATATACGGTTGAGGTTTGGCCCTCCTTGTCCTTCAGAGTCGAGAAGCTTGTCTCCGGATAAGGTATCCGTGAGATAGAGGCTGGAGGATCTGTCTCCATTTTCTCCTCCTCTTTAACTTGGTCTCTCCTTATACCTGATACCGGTGTTGTCCCGAATCTATAATAGAGTATATATCTCTCTTTCTCTCTTTCCCTTGCAGGCTGTTTGACATAACTTTTGCAAGGAGTTTTCCTCCGATAGCCAGTAGTGAAATTCACTGACAGTGCCTACAATCTGATGCACTTCCTTTGTTCTTAAATATATTCACTATATTCGCGTTGCGAAAGTCCTGATGTACCACTTCGCTTTCCCATATGACATCAAAAACAGCCTTAAGGTGACCAATAAGTCCTTTACTTGCACACTTATAGCACGGCATATAAATCACACGGCAGGCCGACTTGCTTTGGCGGGAACGCTACGCGCATATCCTCGCGCACGCCGCCATTTGCGTTTCCATCAACAGAAGGTAACCAGTGTCGTAGTTTTTTCAGCGACAACACACAGTTACGGCAGATTCGAGTCAGTAGCGTGCGGCTTAATTTATTTTGATTTTTTCTTGAGTGATATATTTTGTTTTTGTTGTTTTATTTTTGTTTATTATGTGATGTATTTGGTTTTTCTAGTTTTATTTTCGTTTTTTATGTAATATAATTGCCAATAGGTGTCCGTGGCGTAGAGGTACAGGCTCTCGTCTACCAATCTCAAGGTAGTGGGTTCGAATCCCACACCCGGCATTTCATCAGCCGACAATTTTTATTAAAATAAAAATGGTTTGGGTACCTAAGTCGACTCAGCCTTAAATGAGTACTTGGGATTCACAATCCTGAGGTAATAATAGGCGGTTGAAGCGTAGTGCTAGCCACATTACCTTCCTTTGTATACCGAACGGCTCTAGTATGGCAAGCTGTACCTTGCTACTCCCAAGGCGTCAAACGCTATATACGGGAGCTATTATTATTATTATGTAATATAATTTGTTTTAGTAGTTTTATTTTTGTTGTTCAATAAAAGTTTCTTTCTGTTTCCTAGAGATTCTATTAGGTATGTATATATGTGATTAATTATTTTAACATATTTTAGTTGTGAAAAAAAAACAGTAGTATACATATTAGGACATTCAGCTAAATAGGAATATCTAATTAAAAATCTTAACAAACTTTAATATTAGTTAGATTTAATGTTAAATATTTAGTAAAATTTAATGGTTGTATCTAGACAGTAAAAATTAAATTTAAAAATCATTATACTATTAATTTAAATATAATTATAAAAGTAAATAAAATGAGTATATCGAAAATAAGTTAACAATACATTTTTAGGGCAAGAACATGGACAATTGCAGCTAATAGAGAAGACTTGATTGAAGATATAAATAAGGCCCACAAAAGGTACAAGTTGCGTTCTGTTCATTTTGAATTTAAAATGTTTACCAATTCACTTTGTAACCGTATAAAATACAATGCGATACCTACTTTGTTTCCTGCCATGAAAAAAATAGAAGTTTCTGAAAAAAGTTGTGGATTTATTAATTTGTGAAATTTTAATATTAATAAAATTTGCTACGCCAATCGCTTTATATTGTTCAATAAATATTTTATTGGTATTTCTTTAATTCTTGTTTGTAACTCCTGGCATGTTTTTGTTAGTTGCGTGTTTTTTAATTTTAATTGTCTATTCTCTACAGTGAAATATTTAATTGATTTTTTCATTTTTACTTTCCGAGAAGTATGCGCGGTTAACGATTCATTTGTTTGGACAAAAGTATTGTGTAAATTCAGTTTCAGTCAATTACAGTATTTTTTTAATACGACCCTGTCGTATTTTCTGAGAAATTTTTTGATACGTTTTAATCCGGCCCTGACTAGGAAACGATAATGGCGCTGTCAAGGTCAAATTTTACAGAAATTTTAAACAATGGAATCTGAGCAGAGTTGGCGTGCCGATTGTTTTATGTGCCGTGCTTATAGGTTTCCGCTGGAATCGTGTCACAGCCAGCCAATTTGTTGTTTTTAAGTTGTTTTATGGAGGTTTTTATTTTCTGTTCCGTTATTGGGGTATATAATACATGAATGCTGTTATACTGATGTATTGTGTTTAGTGGTTCCATATTGGGGTTGTTTCGAGGGGTAAACCGCTGCTCGAATCGTGTACACCAAGTGGAAATTTTTCTCAAAAAATTCCAAATAATCCCAAAAAATATCAAAAAATTCCAAAATAAGTCCTTTACTTGCACACTTATAGGTTTCCGCTGGAATCGTGTCACAGCCAGCCAATTTGTTGTTTTTAAGTTGTTTTATGGAGGTTTTTATTTTCTGTTCCGTTATTGGGGTACATAATACATGAATGCTGTTATACTGAGGTATTGTGTTTAGTGGTTCCATATTGGGGTTATTTCGAGGGGTAAACGAACGAAATTTTTCTCAAAAAATTCCATATAATCCCAAAAAAATACCAAAAAATTCCAAAAAATTCCAGAAAATTCCAGAAAATTCCAAAAAATTCCAAAAAATTCCAAAAAAATCCGAAAAATTCCAACTCCGTGTACACCAAATTCTATAACGAATTATTCCTCGGGTTGTTTTCTTGGTTAAGAATATGGTTGTAATGCTCTTTTTAGCGATTTCTGATTGGCACGGCTGAAAGTACCGTATGATCCAAAAAAAATGGCGCCAATTGGCTAGGAAATGACTATCGATGACATTACATATAAAATGACAGCGATCTTAATTTCGTAGTCATCGCTGACGCCATCTTTTTTCGATCATACGGTATAAACCAGCCTAAGTAAAAATAATTTCTGGTCTATATTATCTACGTCCTTAATTATTAAATTTTCTAGGACCTGTTATATGGTACGATACAAGCACCGAAAGATATGTATTAGTTGGAATAATAAGTCATGGAAAACCTTGCCCTTCCAATACCCCTGGACTAAATACGAGAGTTACAGAATATTTGCAATGGATTATCGACAGAACCGGAAGAGGTAGATATTTTAAAAAAAATTTCTCCCCGAAACATTTAACGATAAACTAAAACATATATTATATTTAAAAACAAGAAAATATTTCATAATCAGAAACGTAGTAATTCATTGTAATTATAATAAAATATAAAATACATTCGCACATTTAGATATATGTTTTTTTCGTTTATTTTGTTGTTTCATCTAATCATATTTTATCATTATTCAGTCATTCATTTTAGATCTAGACTTGATTGTCTATTGCTATTGCTGCAAAATATATCTGGATATTAATGTTGTTTTTTCTTTTCAGATACTGGATACTGTGTTAAATAATAAATTAAATCCAAAAAAATGAAGCCAAGAAACAATAGGTCTTATTATTTAGGTACCTTTTTCCTCTTGTTCAAGGACAATTATTACAATTATTACTTTGGAAAATAATAAAACTATCATAATATCTAAGGAAACAAATATATAAGCATTAAGACAATGCAAAATTAATATTATTTACTATTAGTCTTTACAGACAACTTTACTGCCATTTCTTTTTTTTTAATTTATTGGTTGTCATTTTTTTTTTAAATTTAGTAGTCCTCCAAAAGTTTGCCCATTTTAATTTGATAAACATATAATTTGTTGTATATTTGTAGCAATATTCCACGGTTCATATTTCATTTTCTGGTGTAAAAATTGCAATTTTCAACCAGAAAAAAGTATATATTATTGTTTGATTCTTAAACTATGTCATTCTCTGATCAGGATTCAAATCAGGATAGTGTAACGTACCTATATCGATCAAAGCTATCTCTATCTTCCCTGATATATAAAACATCTATTATTATATCCTTCCATTAGCAATGGAAAATTTCCAGGAACGCCATCAGTCATGTCGTACGAACAGTTGGAAGGGGTGAAAATAGGATTCAACCCTCTGCATTTCAATCCGATCAATATCAGGTCCTTCTCTTTGCGCCAGATGGCGACAAGTCCAGTCAAACTATGACACAGCATATTTTAATTTCTTTTTTAGGCATATCCACTTTTATATTTTTGAATACTTAACTCTTTTATTTATATATTTATTTATGTCTGTCATTTTAATTTTAAAATAGTTTATTTGATTTTACAAAGAAATAAATTCGTACCATTGGAAAGCAGGAATGTTAACATATTTAAAAATTTAGTAACAGATGATTACTTTAAAATATTATAAAAAAAATCTGTATAAAACTGAAAAAAATCTAATCGAGTTATTGTATTTCAAAATAGAAATTTACAGTGTGTGTTAATACAAAACAAGCAAGGTTGTATGTTAAACAAAACACGACATACAAAAAATCCATAAAAAAGAACTAACTAATTCTTGCTTTCAAACTTCAAGAAAATTTCTCTTTGTACAGGAATAAAGAAAACACAAAATAAATAAAATAAAATATTTTATCAATAATAATTCAATAATTTACAAACATACACTGAACTAGTGATGGGATAACTCGAGCGAAAATTCGCTCGACTACTCGATTATTAAAATAACCGACATCGCTCGATTATGAACGAGCGATGCAAGTGACGAGTACCAAGCGACGAACGCAAGCGATCGTAAAATGAAATAAATTGAAATCCAATTTTAATGTGACATACTCGATAAAAAGCCGAGCGAATTTTCTACATACATTGCAGGTAGCAAATTTATACGACGCCGTATACAGGGTGTCATTGAAATGGTGTAAAAAAAATCGGGGGTGATAGTACTCCTAAAAATAGTAAAAAAAGTTTCTATAAGTATAGGGTGGAAAATGCATATTAAGGGAGTTAGGGACACTGAAAAGGTGAATTTAAAAAACGGTTGTTTTAAAATTGTAGGCTTAAAGAACGAGACAAAATTTCGACAAAAAATCCTCTGCCATAAATTTTGACCCTAAATCAAATGGTGATACTGGAAAATTATTTGGAAAAGCGGAAAGGGTAGTTTTTGCAAGAGTAGAGGGTTGTTTCGTAAATCACTTTTTTGAGGTTATTTTTTTTGCAACGTGGATTTATTTTTTGAAAACTACATACTTTTTCCTACAAAAAAGATACTCTTGTTGCACATCGCCCAGAGCGATGGTTTTCGAGAAAATTGAAGACAAAGAGTTTACTCTGATGGGTTGCTAACTGGTTAATCAACATAAACTTATGAAAGTTATGGCGGTTCAAAAGTAACCAAGTAGTTATTAAATAATTAATTAGAAAATCAAAATTTTATGATTTTTAAAACATCTTATTGCTTTAAAAACGAAATAATCTTTTTTGGTTTTAAAAAAAATTGATTTTCTCAGTGCCGATTAATACTGAAGAGCAATTACGGCAACGCATTATTGACTGTTCCAATCAAATTCGGACACCAACAAGGATATTCTACAGGGTACGCAGATCGTGGAGAAGAAGATCAGATGTCTACATTGAAATGAATGGTGGTCACTTTGAACATTTACTATGAATGAATTAAGGAATGCATTATTTTAATAAGGAATTTTGGTAATTGGATTATTTCGTTTTTTAAAGCAATAAGATGTTTTAAAAATCATGAAATTTTGATTTTTCAATTAATTATTTAATAACTACTTGGTTACTTTTGAACCGCCATAACTGTCATAAGTTTATGTTGATTAACCAGTTAGCAACCCGTCATAGCAAACCCTTTGCCTTCAATTTTCTCGAAAACCATCGCTCTGGTCGATGTACAAAAAGAGTACCTTTTTTGTAGGAAAAAGTATGTAGTTTTGAAAAATTGAACCCAAGTTGCAAAAAAAATAACCTCAAAAACGTTATGCACGAAACAACCCCCTACCCTTGCAAAAACTACTCTTTCCGCTTTTCCAAATAATTTTTCAGTATCACCATTTGATTTAGGGTCAAAATTTCTGGCAGAGGATTTTTTTTTCGAAATTTTATCTCGTTCTTTAAGCCTACAATTTTAAAACAACCGTTTTTTAAATTCACCCTTTCAGTGCCCCTAACTACATTTTCCGCCCTATACTTATAGGAACTTTTTTTACTCTTTTTAGGAGTACTATCACTTCCCAATTTTGTTTACACCATTTCAATGACACCCTGTATATATTTATCCTTTGCGTATCTGAGGGACATTTTACGACCTACATCGACAATTTCCTTACTGCTTGGCGCTTGGCGTTAACGAGTACTTACAATAAGCGACGGGTGAAAAACCGTATTTTTAAATACGAGTGATATTTCGCTCGAGCGATCACTCGGTTATTGCAATCGCTTGAAACTTGAGTACTCGATTATTGAAATTAATCGGTTTTTCCCATCACTACTTTATACCTTAAGAGTTAGTTAATTAACTTTAATCTTAATATTTTTAAGCCAGTGTATTTTGACTTTATCTTACTACAGTACTAAAATATGTTATTATTAACCTATCGTGTGATGTCTTTATTTTACAGCTATTCCAGTTTGTAGTACCATATACGTGACGGTATATAAATTTTATTGGTGGCTAATACAACTCTCTGTACACCGATATAAACTGTGCTCTGGGTCTACACTAAATTTTCCCTCGATTTTTTTCTCTACTTAACTTTAAAAACACGAAACACACGTAATAACACGAACCAAAATGCAAAAGCAATTCGCCATGTCAAATTTTAACGTATAATTCGGCAAAAGATTGACAACTCTCAGAAATCTTAAGTCGAGTTCATACTCATCTGCTTTCGTGCATCATTCATCGTATCCAATCATATTGAAATATGAACTGTCATTATTGAAATAAACCAATAAGACTGATTAAAAACAACAAGAGACGACTAAAAGTGTCAACCCATTCATAGTTAACTAAAAAATATTAGAAACTCTCTCTCTTTTCAGGGAAATAAATGGATTGGCATGGACGTCATCTGTTGTCGAAATCTTGTCTTAGTCGCAAAGCCGGGTATATCATAAAATCAATTACATATTTCTTTTTAAAACAAAAACTGATTTATATGACTCAAATAAAAAAACCTCCAAACTTTGCAGAACATTAAAAAATAAATAACCATTTTATTGTGTTCTATTTCTATTAAATATCCAAATATCGTTTTCCTTTTTTTATTTTACGAATAATATATTACACAGTAACTTCTCTAATTAGAATAATATCGTGTCTGACAATGACAGAAGTTGTTTTATTTTACTTAGAGGACCTTCTTGAAACCACTGATGCTTCTTAATATCCTCTATCTTAAGTCTTTTATTGAGATCCGGCTCCAGTAAAGCATTTAACAGTTTTTTCAATGAGACTGTAAATTCAGTCCATAACAACATTGTAGCGAAAATGGTTTTGTTCAGCTGAGTCTTGATCATTTTTCTTATATCGACATCATCGAAAGGCATAGACGCTGTTAACATTATGTACAAAATACAACCTAACGCCCATATGTCATACATTTTAGGGTCATACGATATTCCCTAAAAAATAAATAATTTTAGTTTGATAGTACAAGAAAAAAATATCAGATGTTCGAACATTTTGTTGACAAAACTCAGATGGTTGAGTCTTGAACATATCTACTGATGATGCTTTCTACCATGGCAAGTATAATAAAAAATGCCTTGCTTTGGTACCTATATTATAGAAAATATTTGTAATTTTCTGTTGTGACATATAAAGCTGTACGCACACTGGTGCGATCACGACCGCGATCACGATCTCCGTGCGGCCGCGGCCAAAAGTTGCTGAAGACTACATATGAGCCATTTCACATTGGCGCGATCGAGTTTTGGAGACGAAGCGGCCTGGCGGCGTTCTATTCGATGGCGATCAGATTCAACTTGTCGAGTTTGATCGCGTGATCGCGACCCAACTGATCAGTGTGTTTTTTCTTGTTGCAATTTAGAAATGGAGTTAACCATAGACTTAAAATAAAATATAGACTGAGCATCTCATTCATAAATAGCTGGAACATGCGGTGAGACAATGTCTTGTTATTGTTGTGTTATTGTTTTAGGTTATAACGAGTGCGGCCCGAGCGATAGATAGGTTGTCTCTGTCGTAACGGTCGTTCCCTGACGACTCTGCCGAGAAACACAACACTGTCTTTCGTTTCTCAAGTACACCTGAACTCTCCGTATCATAGCCGGGTAATTTTTTTATTTTAATGAAGCTATAATTAAATTAAAAAATATATCGTATTTAAACTTTTTTATATTTTATTAAGATTTAGGACAGGTTTTTACCAACCAAAAAGTGGCTCATCCTCATAATTTTTATATTTTCAAATAAAAACAAGATTTAGTATGTTAGTATATGACATAAATTAGGATTGATTGACGCATTCAATTGTTTTAGTCACTTCCTGTTTCACCGGAAATGACTATAACTTTTAATTATTAAACGGCACCCTCGGTATATTTCTACTTTATTCGATAGAAAATGACACTCTGAATAGAATGACATATCATATGTCAACTTTTGACATTTTCGCATATGGTTTAATTGTAATTGTAACACGCGGTTCATAACGACAATTTAACCGGCCTAGACAAGACACGAAACCTATTAGACGATCAAAACTATTTTTCCAAGGCTCCTTGATTAAAACTTAGTGTTTTTAACAACACCATGGTACCCTGGATTGAAATTTAAAAGTTGACATATGATATGTCGTTCTATTCAGAGTGTCATTTTTTATCGAATAAAGTAGCAATATACCGAGGGTGCCTTTAAAAATCAAAAGATGTAATCATTTCGGTGAAACAGGAAGAGACCAAAAACAATTGAATACGTCAATAAATCCTAATTTATGTCATATACCTACTAACATACAAATCTGTTTTATTATCTGAAAAAATAAAAAATTATAGGGGTGAGCCACTTTTGAGACGACCCGGTATATTAAAAAATATTGTTTCATAATGTAATATCATTTTAAAATTCTTATATGTTATTTTAGATTCTGAACATAATTTTAGAATAAACAGGAATATATTTTTAATAAAAACATTATTAATTATTAACAGGGTTATAATTATGATTTTGTTACAATGTAAGTAAGTAAATAATGTAAGAGAAAAAATTCAGATTTTACATTTTACTAAAATATTATCAAAATAAGCGCCTTTCTACAACAACGCCACTGACTCCCAATGGGTAAATTGAGAGTTGCCTACCGGTCAAAAGTCCTTTCAAGACTTAAATGGATTATTTAAGTCAAATTTCTTGCAAATTTGGCACTGGCGAACCATATTTTATAGTTCTTAAACAGAACGCCACTGACTCCCAATGGGTAAATTGAGAGTTGCCTACCGGTCAAAAGTCCTTTCAAGACTTAAATGGATTATTTAAGTCAAATTTCTTGCAAATTTGGCACTGGGGAACCATATTTTATAGTTCTTAAACAGAAAAAGTCAATAAAATAAACAGTTAAGGACTACAAGCTAAGAAAATGCGTTAATACAGCCGGGGACATAGCGGCAACAAAGCTTTACCGCACACGTGCGACACGTATTACAAGGTAATAAATGAATGAATATCGGTGTTGTCATATTGTAAAGAACTTATCCTTTTTAAACAGTATCCGACTTATAATTTAGTAGTATAAGGACTATTTAATACATCTATGGAATATTAAAACCTACTTTATTAAACTGTAGTATTAATATCTCAATATATGTGTATAACAAGAAAAAAATATTGATAATATTAAAGACGTGACAACATAGGCTGGATGAGGAAGGCTCGGTCGACTGTACCCAGAAGTAAACATGTGTACAAAAAAGCTTGTTTGACCGCGTTGAGATGTAAATAGTGTAGTCTATATTTTATTTTAAGTCTATGGAGTTAACAGAGCAGCTAATTAAGGCTGTAAAAATACACAAAATTCTATATGATTAAAGGCCGGGACACACCTATCCGCACGTTTCCGATCCGGCTCCGATCATGCAGTCGGACGACTGTATGAGAGGGAAAACGTACGTTATTTTAACCAGCGTGGTTTACACCTTTCCGATACGTGATTCATCCCCGCTCCTACTCGACTCCGATCCTGCATTCGTTCGTGTTCCGATTGTCAGTATATTCGTCGATGCCGGCTGTGGGACGAATGTCGTTTTGAACTATTTTGTTTTTGCTGTGTTATTTTTAGTTTTTTACTAAAATAATAAAAAATGTCAACAATAAAACCGGAGGAACTTATTGAAGAAGTGAGGAAATATCCAGTGCTGTATGACCAGACCAAAGAGCAATACCGAAACTCCGACTACAAAGACATGAAATCTGCGTTTTTGGCTGTTCTCTATAAAAACTTTCTCATTTTCCTCATCCTCTTCTTCCAAACAAAGTTTAAGTCACTGTTAAGCTAAATCACTGTTGCTTAAATTTATATTTTAAACATAATATTTTTAACATTTTGCGCACACGACTTCATGCGATGATTGTTGAATCAACACTGGCTATTGTATCCAGCCGAAGCCCGTAATCGTGAAAGAGTCGGAAGCATGTATAACATGTGTGTACTCACCATTTCCGATCCCACAGCGATCCGCTTCTGGGGCAAAATCGGACCGGAGCCGGATCGGAAACGTGCATGATAAGTGTGTCCCGGCCTTTAACCGATCCAAGTTACAAAAATAATATAATTAAAAATAAAAAGTTTAAATATATATATATATATATATATATATATATAAATTTATATAAAAAGTTTTTTTATATAAAGAAGAAAATATTCGACCAATGTGTACTACCAGTCATGACCAATAATGACCATGCATGCGAAACCTGGACACTTAAAACGGACATTATAAGGAAACTGCAGGTCGCACAACGCTCAATGGAACGAAATACGCTGGGAGTAACAAAGAGAGACCGTAAAATAATAGAGTGGATACGACAAGAGACCCAGGTAATAGATGTCGCCACAGAATCAAATCCCTCAAGTGGCAATGGGCAGGACACCTGGCAAGAAGGACGGATAACGGATGTACCACAAAAATTACAGCATGGTACCCACGCAGAATTAAGAGATCTAGAAGAAGACTAGACCTAAGATGAGACCATGATATTGGGAAATTAGCAGGGATAACTTGGGCCCCCATAGCCAACAATAGGCGCAACTACAAAGAGAGTATCTAAATATGTGGGGGAGGCTACACCATAACTGGAAATGATCGAATAGGCTGACAATGATGATGATGATGATAATGATGATATTAAGGTATTATAAACTAGTTTTATCGCAATAAAATCTCAGTTAGAAGGTATCCAATATATGCAATAAAATTCATTTGAAATTACAACACAGTAGCAAACACCTGAATTGTGATAATCGTACATGATGTAGTAAATAAAGGATTTTTACAGATCAAGTTAAAGTATATTCAACTTTATTTGGGCTTAATGCAATACAATGTGTCAGTTTGGTGTAAGTGAATTTATTTGAGCTATATCTTATTTTGTATATTTTATTGCATTAATACTTTTTGAACAATGTCCTAAAACGTTTATATCAAATAATAAATTTCCTAAAATAAATAGATCGCTTGTATTGACATTCATATTTAATTTAAAAACCCATTTTTTGTTTGATAAGTTTTTAACAAAGATAATTATTTATAAGAACAAGGTTGATTCTTAATTGTTTATTTACTTTAGCAAAACAAAATTGGGAACAATGCGTTAATAAAGTAAATTTTAATTAAAAAAATATAAAAGGAATTATATGTCTTAGCAAAACAATTAAAAAATGCAGTTATTATATGTATATAAAGTATCAAATAAACAATTTTGTAAAAGAAATCTAGATTAAAGATATTTAGATATTTAGATGCAGTTATTTTGAATTTACTTATTTTTGTCTGTATTTGTTCTCCGTCTGAAAAATTCCAAATTGATTGATTGTAGGTTTACCTACAAACAACAAGTATACATCAAATTAAGGAAGGCATACCGTGTGATGCATAAGAACACGGGACATAGGAAATCCCATGTAAATTTTGAAAAAGTCAAATATCATCTCCCCCGATGATTTTATGCAAAAGTTCTGTTAGACTTTAATAAGATGCGTTTTAAATTGGAATGATAATCTACAAAGGAATTACTTGAGTAGAATATTCGCGGTGTACCATTTCTTTACTATTCGTTACTCAATCGTGGCTTCGCTCATATTACATACATCCACAATACTTTCCACATCGTAACTCAAGGAACTTCTATACATTAAACAATTATACAATTAATAAAATGTTCAAATAATCCCCTATTCACCAGCCAACGAAAGATGGGCGGCCAATTAATGGTGTAAAATAGCGCGAATAACACTGATAACGAGTAACAAATAATGTAATGTTAGCGAAAAACACAACTAAAGAAGAAAAATAGTTAAGTGTTATTATGGAGGAAGAAGTCTACAGGCTGTAAAGTATTTACGTTCTGTACATTTTCCAAATATGCCAGACCATTAAAGACTATAAATGTAAGAGGAGAATTCGAACACGAACAGTTATTAAAGACTGTAAACAGTAGATTATGGTGCTATTTTTGTATCTCTCATAACTCAGAACGAATTCGTATAAACCATTCAAAATGAACAATTTGTTCATCTTAGGTTCTTTAAAAAGTCTCAAAAACTTATTCATAATTTTTAAAATTTACATGGGTTTCCAGGTCGGCAATGCAACATACGGTATACTAAAGGTCAAAATTTATTTGATCGCAGAGTGTCAAAAATCGTCAGTCATAAGCGAATTATAATAATATAATATATTCCAAACATTATTATCACTGATAAAGATGCATTGTTTGATGATAAACATATTGTAAAATAGCCGCTTATATTTGTTTGAATTGACGCGATATACACATATAAAAAGAAAGGTTATTCAGAAAGAAAAAGTAATTCAGTTCGGGTTTTCAGTTAGTTAATAACGAAAAAATGTTTTTTGAAATAGTAATCGCCGTAATAATTGGTGCGTTAGCTTATATGAAATGGATAAATACGTATTGGAAACGCCACGGAGTCTACCAACTCGAACCCGATTTATTTTTTGGAAATATTCGAAAAACTATTTTGGGGAAAACGTCGCTATCGGCCGGCATACTAGAACATTACAACGAGTTTAAAGCAGCGAATATAAAGAACGGCGGAATATACCATTTTATGAATCCAATGTACATGCCAATAGATCCAGGTACAATAAAGAACATCCTGTTAAAAGATTTCAACCATTTCGTAAACCGAGGAAGTTTCCACACGAAAGAAGATCTTCTGAGTATGAATTTGTTCAATATAGAGGATGAAACATGGAGAAACCTTCGAGCTAAAGTTACTCCTACTTTTACCTCAAGCAAAATGAAGTTGGTATTTGAGACGTTAGTAGATAAAACCAAAAACCTGGAGAAAGTGTTCGGCAACTACGCGGATTCTGCCGAGCCATGCTCCATCAAAGATCTGCTAGGACGCTTCACAACGGACGTTATTGCAAGCTTCGGATTTGGCATCGAATGCAATTCTTTAGAAGACTCAGAAAATATCTTCAGAAAAGTCGGAAAGAAGGTACTAGAACCCAGCCTCGTCAGGTATTTCCTCATGTCCGTTGTTAATTGGAAATTACTCGGATTATTAAATTATAAAAGAGGCGGAATCAAAGCCTCAAACTTCTTCATAGGTTTAATTCGCGACGCCATCAAACAAAGGGAATGTCACGGAGTTTACAGAAAAGACTTCGTGCAGCTCATGCTCGAGCAAAAGAAACCGGGAAACACCAACGAAAATTCCAAAACTATTTCAGAAAAATCGAACGGAGTACCCAAGCCAGCAATAACGGACGATGAAATAACGGCACAATGCTGTGTATTCTTCATCGCAGGTTTTGAAACGTCTTCCACGGTTATGACTTTCACCCTTTTAGAACTAGCTCAAAACCAAGACATCCAAATAAAACTCAGAGAGGAGATAGAAGCTGTATTAGAAGCACACGATGGAAAACTAACGTACGAGGCAGTTTCAGAAATGAAATATTTAGAGATGATTATTAGCGGTAAGTTTTTCTTAAAATCCCAGATCTGTATGTACCATTTGGTATTTTAGATAATAGGCTTTGTAATATAATTTATTTATTTATTTACAAAGAAATCGCCTATTCATATCTCTTATTCAAAACAATCTTAAACAAATTACTTTAAATGTGCTAATATTTTTAATAATATTTTAGAAGCTCTTAGGAAATATCCACCAGTACCAAATCTTTCCAGGATCTGTAATAAACGATATGAAGTTCCTGGTACGGATATAGTCATTGAAAAAGGCATACGCGTTCAAATTCCAATTTTCGGTATTCAAAGAGATCCAGAATACTATCCAAATCCGGAAGTTTTCAATCCTGAGAATTTTTCAGAAGAAAATAAAGCAAAAAGGCCCGATTTTACGTTCTTACCTTTTGGAGATGGGCCAAGAAAGTGTATAGGTAAGTTTAATTAAAGTTGTATTGCTCATGAATAGGTAATTTTAGATCTTTCCTATAGGTATTATAGTAAATACACTTAAGTACTTAAACAAATGTTTGCTAAAAAATCCGGATATTATATTTTTAACTTTTAGCTTTAAGATTTGGCATGTTGCAAGCAAAAGTTGGAGTGCTGAGCCTCGTCAAAAATTTCGACTTTAAACTGAATAATCGAACAGTGTTGCCACTTGAAGTAGATAAAACCAGTTCCATCATGTCACTGCGGGGAGATGTTTGGATGGACGTTAAAAGAATTTCTTAAGATTATTTTTATTTCTATTTTATATTGAATTTGTATTTGTTGGTTATTGGTTAATAATGGAAATCAGTAAATTATAAATGTTTAAGCAAGAATGTGTATTATTTTAGAGAATACATTAATACTAGAAAATATATAACCAAAAATTAAACAGCAACATATTTTATTTAAACAAACTAAAATCGTTATTTTAATATATTAAGTATTGTTGCATTTTGCTTTTGTAACAAAAAAAATTCAAATCCCTAACTGGTATAGTATCTCACTTCGATTTTAATAACTACCTATCTTATCAACAATTTCTTCACGTATACAGATATTTTTATTAAGAATATAAATAATCATGATACTTTTCCTCTATATTTTCCCAATTATTTTTAACTACATACTGTGTTTGTGGTGAACTATAGTATATTACATACCGAGGAGGGAAGTGTTTAATTACTGTCGAGGGATTAACTCAATCTCGAGACAATAATGAAAACTTTCCTACGAGGTTTGTATGTATACTATTTTATTTACACCCACATCATTAATTAAAAAATAGCGACAGTATTTTATTTTGAAAAAAAATAAATATGCGAAAATTTGTCGTTTACTGTTTTGCCATTTCCATATCTATAGTTACCGGTACCAGTGGTTGTTATGGCGCAAACCTTCAACAGCAAAACAAACAACTAAGTGACAGTTTTGAATTTCTCGTTCGCTTTTTCGAGTTTATATTACACAGAAAGCCAGAGTGTTATAGAAAAGTTCTGATAATGAAAACTACTTTAATATTGGTACTCCACCAGAACTTACAGAAGCTGCAAAAAGAGCAGAAGCCAGTCTACTCCCAGAGAAAAGTAGGGGGCGATATGAAATAGCATTGAAAGTATACGAAAAATGGTGTTCCGAAAGAAATGCTAAGTATATTGCTTTTGAGACAGTCTCGATGGCATATTTTAGCGACATGGCAAGGCAGAAAAAGCCATCTACTCTTTGGGCTACGTACAGCATGATACGGACAATGCTAGAATTAAGGGAAAAGACTGACATATCAAAATATCACAAACTCGTCGCTTTTTTAAAACGCCAGAATGTAGGTTTTAAGCCAAAGAAGTCTAGCATTTCTACCAGGCAAAACTGAAAGATTTTCTCACGAAAGCACCTCAAGAAGTCCTTCCTATTAAAGTAAGGTTTTTTTTAAATGTTTTCTTTCTCTGTTTTAGATATTTCTTTTTATTCTTTTAGGTTGCGCTTATAGTAGATTTGTCTGGGGCATGTCGAAGTGATGAGCTAATGAAGATGAAAACTACGCATATTAATATTTTAGAAAACAAAATTTGCATAGATACATTCCCGATACAAAAACTTATAAGAGCAGATCATTTATGATAACTAACACAAGTTGGATAGAAATTGTGAAAGAAAGAATTTATACAGTTACGAAAATATATTGAAAATGAGAGACTTTTTGTTCAATATCGATTAGAAGCTCGAAATCAACCCTTTGGATACAATTCTATATCTAAATTTCCGTACATACAAAATTGTTAGCTTTTTGAAACTTCCCAATGCGAAAACCTACACAGTATGCTTTAGACAGGTCATGCTTTTAGACGAACAACGGCTAAGTTGCTGGTAAATAGCGGAGCTGATATTTTACAGCTGAAGCGTCTGGATGGAAATCCAGTGTTGTGGCTGAGGGTTATGTAGATGCAAATGTAGTCAGCCAAACTAAAACCGCAAATATGATATCTTCAACGACATCGTTGCCATTGTCTTCCTGTAGCAATTGAAACTCTTTACCTTCTCTCGTTGACATTAGAAAACCTGGCACAAATCAGGAGTTAAGTTTTTGCAGCAGTGAAACCTCAATGAGTGAAATACATCATCAGGGCGGCCCCTTAATAATATCGATTAACGCGTACAATAAGTCAAATTTGACCATTAATTTCAACAAATAAATTTATTAAAATCTTCAATTATTATTATTGTTAATCTTCTTGTTTATTTTTGTTGATATTAGATAAGTATTTAATAAAATTACAAGAATATTTTGCTTAATTAAATGAGGCGGGAAATAAGAAAAACCGAGTGAGGGAAATTGGTGAGGGAAATGGAAGAGGGAAGAAATGTAGATAACTTGACACTTTCAAATTTTTTAAAAGTCAATAAAAAGATATTCTTACTTTCAAAATTTCTGGTGCAGCATAGGCAGCCGATCCGCAAAATGTATCCGACAAAACCATTTTTCCATTTCTGTTTTTACACCAGCGGGCGAAACCAAAGTCGCCCAACTTTATCTGGTCGTTCCACATGATGAATATGTTTTCGCATTTCAGGTCCCTGTGCGCTATATCCAGATTGTGGAGGTAGCTAACGGCATCTACGACTTGCTTGAAGTAGAATTTAGATTTTTCTTCGGAGAACGCTCCGTAATCTCTAATATATTCTAGTAAATCACCCAACTGGCAATAATCCATCAGCATGTATATAACGTCGTTCGATTCCAGTATTTTGTAAACCTGGATAATATAACACACATAGAACCTATAGAATTACAATAATAATATGATTTGTGAAATTCCAAAAAAACAGTCCTATAATGTTAAAGAAAACTTTATATATAGGGTGTCCCTTAAGACATTTAATTTATTATTTAAGGGTCTAATATTTAAGCGAATGATGATTGGACTTATATTCTTCTCTTATACAGGGTGATTCCTGTAAGTCGGTCATGCTTTTGGGGAATGATAGGGGACGTCGAAATATTTATTAATTTTGATATAGCACACTATGGGTCGGAAATGCCTCTTACGCAAGATACAGATATATGACGTTAATCAAAATTAATAATAATCATCCATGATACAAAATAACCATCTATCGAAGAATGAAATTGAAATTATATTACCATAGAAAACGCCTTTTGATTTTTAGGAGTCTTGACATGAAAAAACTAAACTATATTTTCATGTTTGTTTTTAATTTTCTCTAAAACGGTATGGAAATTTGAAAAAATATAAACCATATGGTATTAACCATTTCAGAACAGGGAAGAGAGTTATAAGTAAAAAAAAAAATTTACCATCCTGTATATCAAAAGTTAAGATGTTTAAGACAAACATTCATATGAAGTTATTTTTTTTTGAATAGGTCCAAAAATTACCCCTTAAATATTAGCTTGCCATTAAGAAACACTCTTTATATTTGAACCTCTTTTTTTGGTCAGCTATTATTAGTTCGTAACTTAAGTAATTATTATAGTTGAAATAACTAGGATTTTTTTTATCAAGGGAGCTAAAAGCTCTTTGCTGTTTAAATGCTAAGATCTGTTTGTGGTTAAAAGTTTTTTAAAAACAATTTTTAAAAAAAGACGGCTATATGAAAATAGGCAAAAAACGAGAATTAAAGAAACTGAATAATACAATATTATACAAAATAATGACTATATTATGATAATTGTCAAATAATAAACGACAACGTTGCTGAACACAACGCAATGTGATCAACATAGCGATAATAAAATTCGCTTTAAACTAATTTTTGCAGCTTTAATCTAAATAAAGTATCTGTTACAATCATTTGCTCTATAAAGTAAAATGAAGAGCTGCTCGGTATCTTAAATTATACAACAAATTTAAACATTTTTGCCAAAATTTAATTTAGTCAGGTTTCTGGCTTTAGTGTCAATTTCGATATGATTGATGACGTGCATCGAAAAATGTTTTGCGATTACCTTATATTCCTATACATTAAACCCTAAAGAAATATCGTAGAAGATATTTTGAAAAACTATTTTTTGTTGGGATAGACGACTTTTCTCTTAACAAAATTTTGATGTTACATTTTCGTTTTTATATATTTATTTTGTATTATTTCTTGTTTATTTTATAATTAGTTTTGTCTATAATGTCAAATGCAATAACAAATAACAAGAAAAAGTAATAGCTTTTTAATTTTATCCAAAAAGAACTGCAACTGAGAAATCCAAAAATAAATGAAAAGTAATAGTTCATATTTCTGACTAAAGATACCGAGAAAGATTCTTTGTTGAGTAAGAAAAATCGCATATTTTTGGATCAATTGTTTTAATTTGAGCTTTATCTTTAGCATTGAAGATTCAGAAAAGTTCTGACTAAATTGTACTAACCTGTATTATGTTCGGATGTTTTAGATCAGATATAATTTCCAATTCCCTGGGTAGAAATTTTTCGATAAAATCCTCTCCGGCCATTTTCTTTTTGATTATTTTACAGGCGTACTTGCGCCCTTTATCGTTCACAGCAATGCACACTTTACTATAAGTTCCTCTACCTATGGTTTTACCCAAACGGTATCCAACGGTTTTCAAAACCTTGTGGTTAGGAGATTCGGCAGAAGAACATTTGGTGCTCATTTAATAGGAGTTCGGTTTCACCGGTTATAACGTGAATTTTTTGACAAGATATATTCTGTCGGATAGACATATGTCAATATGAGAGGAAGAAAATATGATTTCTTTCAAATAACTGTTTTATACTGGACTTGAGGTTTTACTAATCAATATCTGACGTTAGGCTTGATATAGTAAACGCATGCCTAAGAAACTCTTATGGAAGTGACAGGTTGTAGCTGATAGTCCATTACTAGACGCACGAGGAAGAGCAATTAGCAACAAAATTTTTGCAAAATTTAAATTTTTATCTGTTGTTACCTGTTTTTTACTGTCAAATGTAGAATTTAACCTTTGTATTACCGAAGGATCATAAAACGTGTTACATAGTATAAACCAAGATAGTTTCCTCTTTGAGATTGTTAATTAATTGTAAAATAGGTTACTCTAATTGTTATAGATCTAGATAGTTTTTATTATTATAATGTTTTTATTGTTTTTTTGTTATTATATTCAGTTCAATAATGATGGTTTCTTATAGTTTTTTGGTGTTTTTGTTATATCCCCTTTGTCATTTAAACTTAAATCCATTTATTCGAGTAAATTGGTTCTTTCTTGAATCAATTTACTTGAATAAATGGAAAAATCTTAAAAAAATAGAAACCATCCATTTTAAATTTATGTTTTATTTCGTTACTAGACCCACGAGATGGCGCCACCGCTCGGTTCGGACGAAATGTATTGAGTTTCCTATCTATTTTATATTATAGTAGGTATCTTATCTATGAGTAAAGGCACGTTTTTCACTAGTCAACTGATTTAGTCACTTGAATTCATTTCGCATGAATGTAATGTGACCGTCTAAACTTGAGAAATCACATCAATGGTATTAACTATCTAAATACACGTATTTTTCTTTTTTTTGATCAAAAAGTACCCATTTTTAGTAGTAATTTTAAATAAGAAAAATGCGGATTATTCACGGAATTTCAAACTGTTTTAATTAGTTTTAATTTCATTTTGGTACTATTTAGGACACATATTTGACGTTACAGAAAATTTTAACACATGATTTAACATGACAGACAGAAGGAAAAGCAATACTGCCATTTCCACTAAAATCAAAAATAAAAACGAAAAAAAAAATAAGCGAGTGAAACCAAAGTAATCAGAGCTATAGCTGGACATTAATTCAAAAAGAAAGAAGAAACAAAAAGCGAAACCAAAGCAATGAAAACACGCTTAAGGATTCATTTCATTATTTATTCAATGATATTTTAACCGGCCAGAACAAGAGACGAAAAACATTAGCCGATCAAATCTATTTTTCCAAATCAGCTTGGTTTAAAATTAGTGTTTTTAACACAGCCACTCTAGATTGAAATTTATAATACGATTTTTTTAAAACGAAAATATCAAAAGTTACAACCCCTATTATTTTATGTCTTATTTTTGTAAACAAAGTCATTATAAGTTGAAGAAGTGTGGGTTTGGCAACAATAAATTTAATAAAATAAAAATTAAAAAATGTAAATCATATATTCAAATATTGTGACAAAAATTGACTCTTATACTTATATGTTACGGTTAAAGTTCCATGTCCAACTAATATCGACATTAACAGGTTAATTGGGTTTGGTTTTGTTTTTAATTATTTTGTTTTGTGTTATTCTCTAGATTAACTGGATAATGTCGATATTAACCGGATATCGGACCTTAACCGTAACATACCTATATATCGAATGTTTCTCTTGTTCTCTTCTTAAATAAATAAAAAATATAAAGTCGTTTCAAAACTTCCATATATACATGAATCTTTCAGCACGATTCAGGTTAAAGACGGTGGCGTTTAGGATAGCGTCACGGTGACGTCAGAACCCGCCTCCAGAAAAGGATCAATAAAGGACATGTCTGCCGAACATACTCAGTAGGCGGACAGCGTAGTAAATCAGCAATGTAGAAGATATGACAGCAAACACAATATCCAATTTGCGACGTGTATGCTGTATAAAGACTGATATAATAATTGGGCATTTAATATTAATTAACAGCTTAGTATACAGTATGCCTCCGGGTTGTCTTTACAAGAGAAAATACTTTTTTATTATTGACATTTTGAGAAAAATGCATTCTTTATAAAAAAAAATTGTTTGGTCTAAAATGGTTATTCCCGTTTATACTTTTCCAAATTTCCATACCGTTTTAGAGAAAATTAAAAAAAAACATGAAAATATGGTTAAATTTAGTCCTAAAAATCAGAAGGCGTTTCTGTGGTAATATAATTTCGATTTCCATTGTTTGACAGATGATGATTATTAATTTTGAGTAAAGCCTTATTCAAAACCTCGGAATTAGTGGTTTCAAATAGCGTAGAAGTTTGTTCCTCTAATTTGAATGTAAGCATTCAGAACGTCAAAATTAGTGGTAGACATTTTCAATTAGTAGAAAAAATTATCAAACTTTTAACTTTTCCACTAATTATACTTCAAAATTTGCGAGAAATGTCATTTTGGCCTTTGATTATCTTCCGTCAAGAGAAATTGGTTGGTGGTTAGAAATCAAAAGTTGATTGTTTTATAAGATAAATATTACGCTTTCTCTATATACAACTGAGTAACGCAAGCTGTTGAAAGATATTCTATTAATTTTAATTGTGTTTTTTAGACATTCTAAATGATCGTAAACTAAAAAGTATAAAGTGTAATTGAAACCACTAATTTATTCCACTAATTGCGAGGTTCTGAATAAAGCTTAACGCCATATTTTTGTTTTTGTTAAAGTATCACATTTTCTGATAACCAATTATCACCCTTTTCGTAACATTGAAAAAATAAAATTTGTGCTTCTTTAACAATTTAAAAGAGCACAAAATATGACGTTAATTAAAATTCTATCAATAAAAATCTACCAAAGAAAGCACACGAAATTATATTACCATAGAAACGCGTTTTGATTTTTAGGACTGCAAAATTCAAGTATATTTTCATGTTTTTTTTTTATTTTCTCTAAAACGGTTTGGAAATTTGAAAAGGTATAAAGTGGACCATATGAGAACAAGCAAAAATTTTATGAAGAATGCATTTATTTAAAATGTCAATAACAAATGTCAATAACAAAAACGTTTTTTCTCTTGTAAAGACAATCCGGGGACATACTGTATAAAGTCTGTCCTACGAGTGACGGAAAGTTTCGACAAATATAATCCAAAAAATAGTTTTAGTTATCAGTCATTATTATTTTTGTACCACTCTTTAAAATATATAATAGTATATGAACTGGAAAGAGAATAGCAAATTCGTGATAGGCGATAATTGTCCCAAATTTATCAACAAAATGTAAGGTTAAATTACAGTTGTCAAAACATCCGTTATCGTACAAAAAGTTAAATTAATTTTAACTTTCTCCGTTGGCGGACAGTAATTAAAGATTTTCTATTTAGACTTACACACACACACACAGCCGTTACTCGCTGACGAGTATTCGACACATATAAAGAAGATGGTCACGCAAGGCGTTTTCTTTCATGAGCTTTTCTGTGACCTCTTTACTTTTTGGTTGCCGCTGTTAACTGAGTTTACAACCCTTCTCCATTGAGTTCTATTGTGAGCTGCTTTTTCCCACTCATTCTGCATGTTAATTCCCTTTAAATTTTCGTGGAAAATGTCCTTGTACCTTTTCAGTTGTCCACCCGGCCTCCTCTTACCGTCTAAAAGCTCACCGTAAAGCAGAGATTTTGGTATGCGGTTTTCTTGCATTCTGCATATGTGACCAGCCCATCTTAAGCGGGATTTTGTGACCATAACTTCAATACTCTCGCAGTTAGCTTTTTCAAGGACCGATACGTTTGAGACATGATGGAACCACCGGACTCTTAAGAGTTGTCTAAGGTGTCTCTGTTGGAACTTGTTTAATGCGTTCATGTGTCGGCGGTAAGGCACCCAGGTTTCGCTCCCATATAACATGGTGGGGATTCTAATTGCTCGGTATACTGCAAGTTTTGTTTTTGTACTCAAGTCATGATTGTAGAAAACCCTGTCCTTTAATTTCCAGAATGCTCTTGAGGCGCTACTAATTCTGTGCTGAATTTCAGAGTCAAATTGTTTAGACTTAAAAGAAACACGAAAGACTAAAACACTATGACAAATCTAAGCGCAGTCGGATGAACGTATCAGCCGATGACGGATGCATGAAAATCTGCCTTTAGTTATTAAAATGACAGATACATCTGTCACTGTCATTACCCTCACGTTGGGCAGACTTGACTTTACTATACTAATTTCTTATGTCTGCAATTTAATCCTAATCTTCCTACTGAAATGTCGAACATTCAAATGCACAATACGAGTATACTCTGCAGTTGTATACTCTGTTTTTTTTTCTCAGGTAAGATTTCGACAGACGATGACAGAAGAAAAGCAGATGACGTCCCATACCAATCTATTTATTTTACTAAAAAAAGTTTCTAATAATTTTTAAGTTAACTATGGATGGGTTTAAATATAAATCCGTCATGCGTCGTCTCTTGTTGTTTCTAACCAGTTTTATTGGTTTATTTCAAAAATAACAGATCGTATTTCAGTTTTATTGGTTTGACGGAACGATGAACGACAAACGGACGCCGATGCGTATGAACTCGCCCTTGGATTTTTGACACTTGTCAAAGTCTTGCCAAATTATAGGTTATAATTTTGTGTCAACTTTTGTCAGATACCCTGCGTTTTGAAGGTGATGCATCTTGATTCGTGTTATTACGTGTGTTGTGTGTCTTTTGAAGTCAGGTGGAGGAAAAATCGAATGAAAATTAACTGTAGACCCAGAGCACAGTTTATGGTTAATACTCGCTGCCCAGGCAGAAAGTCTTATACACCAATAAAGTTACCATTAATAAAGTTCGTATACCATCTCCTCGTAGATAAGTGCATAGTGCATCTGAATATGGTAGAAAGATCATACTAAACGCATACTAAAAACTGGAGTAGCTGTAAAATATCGACATCACACGACAGGTAAATAATGGATTTTAGTACAGCAGAAAAATAATGTCAAAAGGTACTGGTTTAAAAAAATTAAGATTAAAGTTAATTAATCAACCTTTAAGGTATAAAATTTGGTAAGTAGTAAATTTGGTAAATAAAATAGTTTGTTTTATTTATGTTGTTTTATTTATTCCTGTGGAATATTACAAATTTGTATTTGTACATAAGTTATATTGATAAATATAATCATAAATGCTGGAAGTTTCACAGAGCTAGAAAGTAAGAAATAGTTCTTTTTTATATTTTTTTGGTATGTGGTGTCTTGTTCTTGTTTGTTTTGTACTAATACATACCG